AATGCCAGGCCATAGTCGACCAAAAAAGTAATGGAATGAGAATCTTCAGGAAGAAGGCCAGCTATGAGATGGAAAACATATATAGAGATTGGATGTTGTTTCATTACGACTTAGCTCCAAAATAAATCGTATAGATAAGATATATATTATGACTGAAGTTACTACACAAGTTTTTCTGGTCTAAAAGAGAACATGGTCTTAAAATTAAATGAATCTATGCCCAGAAATGAAAACTTCGTTAAGTAGACACACAAGGCCTGCCAAATTTAGCCAAATGGCGAAAGTACGTTCGCCAGGATTTAACGGATTTAAGAAAATTGTATCACAGGACTAAAATAATTACTTACCTACATCAACTATAGTTCACGCAACACGGAACAATAGGCGACTGATTTATTTTATAGCTACTTGACATATTTGATTTCAAAAAAAAAAAATTGATTTCGTTTTTTAATCGATTATATGTTGGTAAACATTGCAAAAATATTTAGAAAAATAATTAAATAAAACTATACTTTACCAAAACTATATGTTTTTTTTTTGATTAAATTTGGAAAACACATAAACATTAAGAATTGCACATAAGAAGAAAACAAACATTAAGAATGTAGTTCATTGATCTGACAGATTTTTTAGATTAAGCTTTTTTGATTAAAACGTTTTTTATAAAATTTTATTTATATATTAATTGGTATTTTTATTTACAAAAATTAAAAATATATTATATATTTATCAAATAATTATTGTACTTTGCAAAAATATTTACATATTTTTGCAAAATAAACGTATGCTGACAATTTTAATTGATAAATTGTTTATAAATAGTTTTCAAAGTATTGTTGAATGCAATAATCAGCTGCTGATGCCTCGAAAATCGTCCTGTTTGATATTCCTATTTGATATGTAATTTGATATCATGTTCTTATTCCATTTTCTATCATTTTATTGAATGATATCGATGAGATCCTGATGGAAGACCAAGAAACTATAGAAAGTGACTTTCAAAAATGGAGGCTTCGACCTAACGCCTCTTAAGAACACTTAAAGTTCACTTTAATAATCACGACTCAAACACATTCAAATACCTTCCACCAAATACTACTCAAAATCCAAAATACCTAGGTGTGGCTTTGGGCAGAACGTTAAGCTTTAGAGAACATTTGAGTACATTTCTTCAGGCTTCAGACTTAGGTACATTCACTCAGGTCTTCAGGATTAGCTCTATTGTTTTGTATTATTTAGCTGAATATGGCAACCCATATGGACCACGTTAATAGCTTACAAATATTTAGGGCATGAGATTTGCTTAGGCCTAGATAATCAGATAACTGAAATACATAGGTCTCACATGACCTGACAAAATTGCCGTGACCAAAGGAAAGATGTATTTGCATGTTTTGTGGACTTCGAAAAGACATTCGATAAAGTACAGCATGTAAAATTAATGCAAATACTGAAAAATATCGGAATAGATTACAAGGATATTCGTGTCATTAAAAATTTGTACTGGAATCAAACTGCTATCGTAAAAATTGGAGGTAACTAAACTGATGAAATCCCCATACAACGATGAGTCAGACAAGGTTGCATTTTGTCGCCAACATTATTCAATGTTTACTGGCACCAGCTATTTAAAAAGGCACTTGAGAGACAACCATATGGAATAAAAATCAACGGGGAACTACTTAATGTGATTAGATATGCAGACGATACAGTAATTCTATCAGATAATATTGAAGTTCTTCAAATTCTGCTTGATCGTATTCAGGAGGTAGTAGAGGAAATGAGAATTAAAATAAACTCAAACAAAACCAAATTTTTAGTGTTTATTCGTGACCCACATCCCGGTGCAAAGTTTCAATTGAACGGAGTCCAAGTTGAGAAAGTTCACAAAATGACATATTTGGGAACTGTGATAACGGACTAACTAGATCCAGACATAGAAATGAAACGTAGAATAGCAATGACTAAAACTACTTTTATGAAAATGAAGTCATTTATTTGCAATAACCATCTCAGTTTAGAACTAAGGCAAAGAATGGTTAAGTGCTATGTTTGGTCTGTATTTTTGTATAGTGCAGAAGTGTGGACGCTGAAAGTATCGATCATGAACAATATTGAAGCATTGGAAATGTGGGTTTATAGACGAATGCTGAAGATACCTTGAACAGAAAAACTAATGAAGAAGTACTAAGGAGCGTCAACAAAGACAGAGAACTGCTAAAGACTGTTAAAGATCGAAAAATGTCTTATCTGGGATATATAGTAAGGGAAACTCGATATAAAATTTTACAACTGATCCTTACACGAAAAATGGAGGGCCATAGAGGTGTAGGAAGAAAACAAGTTTCTTGGTTAAAAAACATTCGTGAATGGACTCAGATACCAAATGCAGGACAATTATTCTATATTGCAGAAGATCGAGAAGCCTTCGCAATGGTGATCGCCAACGTCGGATAGTTCTGATATGGCACTCAGAAGAAGAAGAAGAACATGCAAATTGTAAACCTTTGTAACATTTTTTTTATTATTAATATATTAAATATTTCTAAATCCTTTAACCCCCGTGCGATACGTCTATGATCGTGTATCGATATCAAAATATTGTAGATACCCAGCTAAAATGGAATTGCCTAATTATGAATGGTTTTTAATCCTTCCGTCATAATATTCATTATGAAAAGAGTATAATGCGTTTTGGTATGCAGTTTCCTTTTCATAAATTGGTAATTTTCGTCGAAGACCCGTTTCTTTTGACAATAACTTAATTCCAAGTATTGTCCGTTTCTTATGTCCAATTGTTAATACCGATTATTTTACCCCAAAGTTTCCAATAGTCGTTAAGGCCTTACCTTCTGAGAAACACATACAACTGTCCTATCATTCTTGAGTGGGGGAATATTTTCTTCTTCCTTTTTCAGGGACAGTTGGTGAAATTTTGAGTGTAACGAAGTTACTTGTTGGTGGGCCGTTGTTGAGTTAAGGCCAATATCTCGTGTTACGCTTTGCTCACTTTATTTCTTATCGTATCGTCTTTGTGAATTATTTTCTAAGTATGTATACACTTTATATTTGAGTTTTCTTTCCTTAGACTATATTAAATTATATATAGTTCTACACTACCTTTAATGGTTATTAAATTCAGTGTTTAGTACCAGAAAAGTATTAAATTCAGTGAATTAAGCTGCCTTCGTCAAGATCTACTGTAAGTAATTTTATCTACAATTATCTGGGCGAGTAATATGGTATGGTACCATATCACCTGCCATTATCTGGACGTATCATCTATATCTTCACCTGAAGATTGCCGATTTTTAAATGTAATTGAACCACTCAAGAAATTTCTATAAATATTACCTATGAACATACAAGTCTCAGTTTTTTATTAAATAATAGTGCGAGATAGTTAATTGACTTAGCCAAGTGCGGTTTGGTTTATGTTTTCATTCTTGTAACCTTTTTGTTTTTTTTTGTAAATTTAGAGTTAAGTAATTTTTGCTATCTTTTGTATTTCCTATAATTTTTGTTCATTATCTTTCCTATGATATCTCGAGATACGCCAAACTATATTTGTATATGATTGCCTTATATATCTTGGTAAAGGTATTTTTTTATTACATTATTGCTTAATTTTATACATATATAACACCATTTCATAGTTGTGTATTTTTATTACCTGTGTTGCAATTTTGTGTTTAATATATTGTTATTGTTTTATGCATGTATTTTATTTGTCGGCTCCTAACAAGTTCCCTGATAAAATAATAGCTCTGAACAATTACTATCTTTAAATATTACTATGCTTTTGAACTGTAGAAAGATCAGGCTGATTAAGTTTCGTAGGTAAGTAAGTGTAATACTTAATATATTTATTATTTGTTTATATATTGCGTTGACCAGATTTATTTGATAATTTACTGTTGGTATCTTTCCTTGGGTTTGATCTCTGAACCTAAATATCTTTTCTTATCTCTTTTCTTTTCTAAGGTTTTCTTAATTTTCTCCTTAACCCCAAAAAATTGAGTGGCGCCCTGTTTCTATCTTCTCTTATCTTTGGTAATTTTACCCATCTATCTTTTTGTTTATTTCTGTATCTTTTCTAATATCTCTTATCCTATCTTTACCTATTTCTTCCGTTGGATCCATTCCCGGTTCCAAAAGCTAGTTTCGAACCCACGACTTGCTCTCCACCAACCATCTGGCTGCCGTCCGCAGTGTCTCCATTGGTTATCTTTCTAGCACCACCCAAAAAAGATTTCCGAGGTTACACCTTAATAAAATACTTGTAAATATTATTTCGTTTGCATCTTATGTTTTAAAATAAACTTTTTTTTGAAGGAGTCGAATTCTTTGGCCCTTCGTAATAATTTCAAATATAATACAGCCCGCAACGTATAAAAGGATGCACCATACTGATATAAATTATTATAAAAAAAGACGTATTTGGTCAAAGTTAACAAAACATTATTAACTCAAGTAAATTTTTTGTACATTTACTATTTTGTTCAGCAAATCTTTTGTCACAATCTTTATAGAATTACTGTACCGTTTTTAAATAAAACGAGCGGTTCTTAATTTATATAAATATATTTATTTATAAGTTTACAGCACGAAAATATCTTATCAACTAACCTAACTCATAGAAGGTCTGCAATATAAAAGTTATTATATACTAGAATATTCTGGCGTAGTCCACCTCTAATTCGTTTGTTTGACGGGTCGATTTCTTTCATAACAATACGTATTCGGTACTAAATAGTGATGATAGGGAAACAAGAAGGTAATGAAATTGAGACGTCAGCTTTATGCAATTAAATTCATTATTAATAGACTTAGATAGACTTGAGTGATGGATTAGATCGTTACTTGATTGAAGTTCATTTTATCCAACAATAAAACACTGAAAACTTTTGTTTAAACACTTTATTATAATTCATTATCACGACAGCTGTTTCGGCAGAATGCTTTTGGCAAGAATCAGTAAAGAAAAGGTAAGAACATCAGTCTTTACTTCTTTTAAAAGAAAGTTTTATTTGCTCAAGAACATACTGATACAACTTTTCTTTAAATAATGTTAGAGGTAGTTTAGTTGCCTCGCTTAAATTTATCTCGAAATGATGCAACAAATGTACAATAAACACCTTTGTTTGTAAAACGGCCAATCTGGAACCTATACAGCCATTTTCACTTAGACCAAAAGGTAAATATGTGTAGGGTTCGATGATACATCTGTGTTCGCTGCTAAGCCTTTCTGGTTCAAATCTTTTAGAGTAACCGTAGTATCTGGGAGCGTAATGCATGGGGGTTACTGGTATGCACAGAATAGATCCTTTTTCCAACACGACTTCTTTTTTTTTGCTAGTTTTAGATTCTATAATATACGTTTGGTTACAAATGCGGTAGATGGAGTCGAAATATGGCCATTTTCTAAGGGTTTCTAAAAAAACGATTAAAGTAGAGTAGAAATAGTATACCTAGGAAAAAATAATAGTATTGTCATTGTAATAGATAATAGCACTGTCAAAAACTGCATAAAAAATAGCACTGTTTTTATTACCTGAAACAACCATATCTAAGTATTCCATTTTCGTTAAGATATCGTAAGTCATCTTTCCATAGCAACGGTCAAAGCTGTTGTCAATTTCTATTCTTAATTTTGACTGAATATCTTTATCTAAGGCCAGCTCGATGGCTACGAAAGAAATCAAATTTAAAACGGGGTCCAGTCCAGCTAACCAATACAGTAGAGAGTGTTTCAATGTATCCGCGTTCCTAATTGCTGGTGGTATCAAATGAGAATTTTCTGTAAAATATTTAATTCTGTAAATCTATATAAAAGTAACGATGTTTAATAGTTACCAATATTATTGGATATATCTGTTAAATCTTGCTTTGTTAGTTGCATTTCTTCGTACTTTGTTTCCAAGATTAATTGAATTATGTCAGGACGAGCAATATTTTTCGTTGCTCTTGATTTTAATTTGTCATGAAGAAGATCCATGAAATACTGTTTAGGTTGACAGTCAATAGAATATACATTTGGTAGCTATAAAAATGAAAACATTAGATAAAATAAGACTTATTTTTGTTTGTATTATATTGTATAGTATATATCAACATTCTTGATGATCGATGGGACCTAATTTTGTAAGCATTCAATTTTTTATTTTAAGCTACTTGTTTTTAAGTAGCTATGGTCCTACACTATACAACAGTAAAGAAAAATCTTCTATTAATTGTAGAATGTCATATGTGCCTGTATATGTATTCCAAGTATATGTTAGAAAACTCGAATATATGTGTCTTATGTAATGGTAATCACCCTGCCCATTACAAAGAGTGCACTTATATACAAGCAATTTCAGAAAGAAAGATACCCACCGCTCAGGAAGGAGTACGAACAAACTGCAAGAAGAGAATCCCAAAATTACAAAGTAGCAGATTCAATACTATACAGTTTACCATACCATGCATCCTGATGGAACCGCCCACGGTGGCATTGCAGTCATTATTACAAACACAACAAACATAATCCCGCAACTTGTCTTGCAAAAGAATACATGCAAGCCAGAAATATAGTTGTAGAAGACTGGACAGGCTCCACTACTTTGTTTGCGGTTTATTGCTCTCTAAAGCGTAAAATAACAAAAGAAGACTTTTGAAGAAGAAGAGTTCTTTGACGAACTAAGCAACAGATTCATTTGTGACGGTCATTATAAATCCAAGCATCAGAATTGGGGTTCTAGACTAGATACGGTCCGAGCAAGAGAGCTCCAACACGAGAACCAACATACTAGTTAACCGACTTAAATAAAACCCCCGATCTTTTGGACTTCAGTAATAACTAGATTAATTAACAAGAAGAGATAACGAAGAGATAGAACATGCTGTAGAACACTTTAACTCAATCATAGAACAAGCTGCCTGAGCAGCAACACCCAGCAATAATGAAAAGAAGAGTGAATACACTTCGATATCTATAAGACAGAAAATAATCCAGAAAAGAAAACTCAGAAACAGTGGCAAGCAACTAGATTGCTATAAACAAAAACGCAGCTAAACAATGCTATAAAGAAGCTAAAAGAAATCATTGTAACGGAAAAGAATCTAAAATTCAGTAATTTGCTCATAAATTAAAAAGATCTCAATACCGATACCACCATTAAAAAAAGACCAAGGCGAATGGTTGAAAACACCAAAAGAAAAAGCAGATACATTTGCCAACCACCTAAGAACTGTATTCATTCCCAATGAAACAACGGACCCCAACCGAGAGGAAACAATAAAGCGAGCTCTTGAAGAATTATACCAGCTGGAATTGCTAAAAAAAAGATTTAAAAAAAGGTAAATAACAACCACAATAAGATTTAATACCAATCCTAAAAAAATTACAGAGTACGACCTTATCACAGAACAAATATTACAAGAGCTGCCGGAAAAAGGATTTACATCTCTTTGGAAACACAGTTATCCAATTTAATTGTGAAATTAAGCTATTTACCACCACAATGAAAATTAGCTAAAATAACACCCATTTTAAAATATAGTAAACTTTTCGAAAAACTTTTACTAACTTGATTAATACTTATTCTAGAAGACAAGGGAATTATTATTCCAACTCACCAATTTGGATTCAGACAGAAACATTCTACCATTCAACAAGCACATCGAATAGTAAACAGAAGGCATCCAGATATTGTTCCGCCCTGTTCATAGATATAGGACCAAAGTTTGACAAGGTATGGCACTAGGGGTCTATAAGCTGGGGAGTTGTTTACTTCTAAACTATTACACACTACTAAAGTAATAATAAAAATAAACGTTTAAGAGTCAAGTATGACAATGAAATAACAAAACTCCAACCCATAACAGCGGGAGTCCCACAGGGAAGTGTACTGGGTCCTATCATGTACCTACTCTACACTGCCGACCTCCTGCCATCCACCTGCCATCCACCTAAACAAGAATTTAACTAAACTAGAAAAAATCGATACATTTGACATTTACAACACGTAGAGGAACATGTCCACTTGTATGTATTAACCGCAAACAAATATCACAGAAAGATGATGTAAAGTACCTTGGGATTCACCTGGATAGAAAACTGAGCTGAAAAAACATATATTTTCCAAAAGAAAACAACATAGAGACGTACTGACTAATAAGAAAACAATACCTTAAAATAAATTACTCCTATACACAACGGTGTTAAAGCCAGTATGGACCTGGTGGAGAGGATAAATTTATTACCAAACTATCTACATTTTAGAGAGGCGTAGTTGAACACCTAATTGCTTCAAAATATTTATTAAGGACCACTGAAGCAATAAAACACTTAAGACGTATTTTTCCTTCGATTTATTTATAGTAAACTTAGGGGCTGATTCTACATTGATAATTATCGCAATTCTGATAATACTAAAAAGATTTATACAAATATCATTAGTTTTACAGTGCTAGGAGGCAGTAACAGAGATACAGGACATTGAGAGAAACAAAACTAAGTTTTAACACAAAACACCGGTTCTACAATCGTGTCTATCACTCACGCAGCACGCACTTTTAGGGCTTGACAACACACTTCGTCTTTACTTGTCGAGAGGTAAATTCGCACTGTTTTAAGTTATATAACGCGGGGTACAGAGAGATTATGAGGGAGAGGGTCGCAAACACATTAACATAAGAGCTGACGAATTGAGCGTACAAGTTGGTAAAATAACTAAATTATGATTACAATTTTATAAATAGGTTGTTTTTACAACAGGACCTATGGGATAGAACTGTGGGGAACAGCGGCAAATTCTAATATAGAAATTATACAAAGGTTCCAAGGTTTGGCCTTGTTAGACGTAGAGATGAAAACTATGTGGGTCGAAGGATACAGCTGTTAGAAGTTGATGAAAGAAGAGGTACAAGAAAACCGAGAAGATTGAAGGACTGTGTGATAAAGGACTTGAGAGAGAAAAGTTTAGGTGAAGAAGGCCCGATGGACAGAAATAAGTGGTGACAAAGAGTAAGTAACAACTACTTATGGAAAAGGAAAAGCTGAGGAAGCTTTTATCAGCAACAACTCCATACATGGAGATAACTTATGTAAAGGAAGAAATAACTTATGTAAGGGAAGAAATTACATATCGAATAAAATACAAGGACCAATTACGGGAACACCCAAATCACCCATCAACGAATTTGATGCAGATGCGTACAGTGCACGGTTAAAACATGAGATGCTAATCATGTTTTTCCCAGAACCAATATTAAGAGCGGTATATTAATTGATATGTTCGCTACATGTCAATAGTTTAACCGACATAAATATTACTTAATTAATGCTTACTTTGTAAAAAATGCAGATTGTAATAAATTGGGATACAAATAAAAAAAACTTACTTGCAATATTTTCGATATAAAGAAATACCCCCAAAACTTAAACTGCCTTTTAAAATGAGCGAAATTCATGATATTTGTGATCATACGACAAAATTCCTTATTTGCCTTATCCTTAGGATTCAAAGAAAGATCAAAAACAGTGGATGCTATTATGTCGGTAACAAAACGAGTAGCAGCATCTTTTATTGGTACATCAATGATGTCCAAATCATTTTTCATAAAAGTTTTAATAAAAATTTGACAGCATTCTTCTAAAAGTGGAAACATTCGTCGCAGGTCACTATTTGTCAGATACACTTTCCAGTTTTGGTCTATAGAAAAAAGATACAGTTGCATATTAATGTCACACCTATAATTTCAGGAAAACATCAATACTAATTGTAGCTGTTATTTAATACCTCTGCTTTATTATATACTTTTCGTAATGGAATAGACAAAAAGTTAGTTTAGTAACTAAAACCTCTACGTACCTCTCAAGTTTATGTTGTGTAATGGATCATCACTTTCCAATACACATTGGTCAGGACTGAAAAAGCTTTCTGTGTCCTTTTCAGCGATGTTTCTCAAGAGCCATTCATCTTTTATCATCAGAATTGGAGTTGTAAAGTGATAATATCCTACGTATCTAAAATAATAAAAAAACATTTAAAAACAAGCAAAAATCTCTTTTTGGGAAATTTGTAAATAATAAGACTCATCATCTTTCATTAAAATCGGCTATTTTCCTATGGTCCAAGTTTATTCTTACTATTTTTAGATCACATGTGATATTTTAGTTGTTCTTATACATGGGCAGCTCCTGTTCCATTTAAGTTTAGTAATTCATTCGATCATTCGTTTTATATTCTGGTTCTTTGGCAAATTTCCTCGTTGTTAATAATATCTCACGGATTGTGATTGGCGTGAAACTGCGCAAAACTTTCCAAACGTACCTTATCTTTACATACAAATATATTTCGCTAATTTCGGAAACCACTGGTGATACTGGATGATTACGCCCATCGAGCAACATCCATCTCTCAGGCCAGAGGCCCTCTGGCTAAATAATGTTGCTCTTCGGACGTCTAATCATATTAATTACACCCTTGGTATATAAATAATTATTAAACAATTGTTATTTAATTGATAATGAGAATTTAAGCCAGAAAAAAATGTGTACTCTAGATCTTGTTTCTCTCTTATACACAGGTTGTACACATACAATATACCAAGGTTGTAACTTCGGCAACCTTTTTTGAATGGTACTAGAAAGGTCACCAGTGGAGACGCTGCGGACGGCAGCCAGATGATTGGTGGAGATCAAGTCGTAGGTTTGAAACTAGCTTTTGGAACCGGATATAAAGGTACTTTATATCAATATTTAATCTAATATGGTATTAGATTAAGATAATCAAACAAAGATTTAAGTTATATTCACAGAGAACGGTAAGATAAACAAGCGTCTTTACTCGAAGACTGCCTGCCAGAAGTGATATTCTTCCTCTCAAAATTTCACAAGCTTGAAAAAAGGTGGGTTATCCCCCACTTCAAAATGATAGGCCAGGCTGTTTCCATTTCTAGGAAGATAGAAAGGTTCTAACGAACATAGAAAATAACCGGACTAAAATAGTTGGAAACGTGAGAAAAGATAAAACCTTTTGAATTAGGTTCTTTCAAAAAGATATCGTTAAGAGCTTTTACGGCTTTGTTTACCAAAGCTCAAAAAGAACTGTTTGAAACCGAAAAATATTAACGCCCTACTATAAACTATTCTTCGGCCTCTTTTGATAAGTAGTCCTATCAGTACTTTGAGAATTCTGTGGTAGTCGGTATGTTCCAATAAATTTTTCTAATGGTAAACGAGCCCACCCGCATAGCTATTTGCAGATACGGCCATGGGCGTATTAGCATCAGGGGTAAAGAGATTAAAAATTATTTAATATTTTAATTATAAAATAAATATTACTAAGGTTTGGTTAATATTGTTAAGGTTTGAACTTAAATGTAGATTCTTGGTGAATCCTTGAAAGTCGTGTTTAATGAGAAACTTAAACAATTCTACAGTATACTATCTAAATACATATACAAGTAAATATTAAGACATTAGAAAGAACTATTTCAATTCTGATTTATGTTTTACCTTTTTGTTGCACTTACCTAACATTTCTTGATAAATTATATGTTGACGATAATTTAGAAGCTCGTGGTTCTGATCGCGATCGGAATCTTAAAATATTCCACAACAGTCTATGCGGATTCTCTTGTAGAACTCCTCGCTTCTTCCAGTAACTTAAACATTGTATGGCGCGGCAATATAGTAAAAGTATAACTAGTACCAAGAGAAGCAGATGAAGCATGTCTAAGCATATCTTAAGTAAATGTATCAAAAACAATCTAAAAATAAAACCATGTGAGTAGTGAATGTACATGAATAATTTTAGATTGACTGAGAGGTAAATAGAAATGTAAAATGAATAATAAAATATTTCAGTTTTTTTGATAAATATTTAATAACATCCTCTTCACAATTAGTCGGATAGTGTAATAACTTGTGAATTATGTACAGAAAAGTCTTAAAACAAAGAGTGTTGAAGATTATATTAGGTATCACTTCATTGATAATGAAAGTAGGACTTATAGTATTTTAATAATTTCAAGATAGTTATTTTTTTATCGTAACTGGTAAATGCATTCTTACAACAAAGACAAAATGCATGGTTACAACAGCAAATAGAACAAGTGATGGAGTTTAAATATAGAGCCATTACATTATCTAGCTATGGAAAGCTCGAAACCGAAGTGGAAGATCAAGCGAATAGAGCAAACAGAGCTGCAGACTGCCTAAATGAAACAATATGGGGAAATAAAAATATCGGGAAGGAAATGAAGACCAATAATGACATACGTGGCAGAAACAAGACTTGACACAGAGTGGGCAAAAGAGAGGTTAGAAACAGTAGAGATGAAAACACTTAGAAATTGATGGTAAGATACTACGGGACAAAGCTAGAAGTACAGATATACGACATAGATGCAAGGTGGAGAACAATGATAAGAGAAATGACAACTTACTGGAGGCACATTGAAAAACAGACAGAGTCATGTCGATATAAAAAGAAGAAGAGGAAGAAGAAGATGCTATCATCATCATCCAGCCGAATTTTCACATCCATTGTTGGATATAGGCCTCCTTCAAACGTCTCCAGTTCTCTCTATCTCTAGCTGCTGCAATCCAGTTTGTTTCTATTCTCTTTAGGTCGTCGGTCCATCGGGTGGGTGGTCTGCCTCGACTTCGCTTGTCGGCTCTTGGTCTCCACTCCAATAATCTCTTCGTCCATCTTCCGTCTTCCATTCTAGCAACATGTCCAGCCCACCTCCACTTTTGTTTATTGATTCGCAGTATAATATCGTCTACGCCAGTTCGTCGGCGTATCTCCTCATTTCTTACGCGATCTTTCAAGGTCAGGCCCAGCATTGATCTCTCCATTCGCCTTTGTGTTACCCTCAGTTTTTCGGCAGTAGCTTTCGTTAAAGTTAAGGTCTCTGCTCCGTAGGTCAAGACTGGTAAGATGCATTGGTTAAATGCCTTCCTTTTCAGGTGAATTGGGATATTTGTTTTAAAAATGTCTCTCATCCGTCCATATGCCGCCCATCCCAACATGATTCGTCTATTTAGCTCGCAGGTTTGGTTGTCTCTATCTGTATCTCTTCGCTGGGAACCATATTGGTCATCATTTTGGTTTTCTCGAAATTTATCTCCAGCCCAGTTTCTTGTAGTATGTCATTCAGTTCTTGGAGCATGTCTTTGATCTCTCCCAGATTATCTGACAGAAGCACGATATCGTCCGCAAAACGTAGATGGTTTAATCTTTCTCCATCGATGGATATTCCTTTCTGTTGCCATGTTAGTCTTTTAAATGCATACTCAAGAACGGTAATGAACAGCTTTGGTGACATGGTATCACCTTGCCTGACTCCCCTTTTTATCTTTATTTTATTAGTTGCAGAATATAGACTTATGGTTGTTGTGGCATTTTCATATATATTTTTAATTGTATTACAATATCTGTGGTCGATCCTGCAATCTTATAGTGCTCTTAAGATGGACGATAGTTCCACTGTATCAAACGCCTTTTTAAAGTCTACAAATATCAATGCCAAGGGACGGTAATATTCGTTAGTTTTTTCTATTAGGGTTTTTTATTCACTGCAGGTGATCGTTTGTGCCATAATTAGAGCGGAAACCAGCTTGTTCCCGAGGTTGGTAAAAATCCAGGTTTGTCTCTAATCTATTCGTTATTATTCGGGTGTATAATTTATAAAGATGGTTAAGGAGACTGATTGGTCTGTATCTTTCCAGGTCTGCTATATCTCCCTTCTTGTGTAAGAGTACAGTTATTGAATTATTCCACTTTGTTGGGATATTTTGATTCCATAGGCATAGATTAAAGAGCTTTTGAATTTTGGCTATCAGTACTGAGCCTCCTAACTTTATCGCTTCCGTGACGACACCGTCCTCCCCAGAAGCTGCTATACCGACACCAAAAGGAGACTTTCCGCTTTCTATTAGAAATCTAAGCTGTCAACATATCTTTTCTCTCAGGGAGAAGGCAGTAAAGGGTCATAGAAATTGGTTCCTGCCTGGAATGTATTTGGAACAAACATATATAAAAACCAATTCTGACGATTTGAAACTCAAATTTTACTCAACCAATTGTGATGGCCAAAGAAAAAACAAGTACCTTATTGTAATGCATCAGCATGCTGTAACTCATTTCAAAATTTCTTCTATAACTAATCCCTATTTAGTTGTCGGTCATACTCAAAATAAGAGTGACAGCTGCCACTCTTTAATAGAAAGAAATATTACTAAAGCTTTAAAAGGAGAGCTTATTAATCTTCCGACTCATTACACTATGCTGACCCGAACGGCTCGTTGCACACAGTCACTCGAAAGAACGAATTATGCCAGAATGATTTTTTTACCTGAAAAAAGTTAAATACTAAAACAGCGAAAATTTTCAATGAAGATGTTCAAGGAAATACTTTTCATTTTAAGGAAATTTGTGAAATTTATGTAAAAAGTGCTATAGTACTCAATTCTATTTTAAAACTTCATTTCCACAAGAAGGGTACAGATTATACCAACAAGTAAAAACCAAAAAAGGTTTAGAAAGCATGGTATTATAAAAGTAGAAAAGATTTACACTAGCAGCCTGCTAATAGAAAAAAAGAAGAAAAAACTAAAAAGAAGAAAAAAAGCCTTACTATCCTTTGTGAAGACAAGAGTGTTCCACCAATTCACACTGATTTCAACCGACATTTAAAGCACTGTTAATCATAACTTTTCCTATTATTATTAATATATACTTTTTTATGTTTCGTTCTTCTCATAGTTATTAATAAACACCTTTTCCCGTTCAAGTAACTTTTAGTATTTTTCATTGAACCTTTGTTTTAGTTGATAGGAATAACAAAAAAAATGCCAGTTTTGTCTTTGTCTTAATGAGTCTTGAAAGACAAAATGTGGATGTGGAATAGGGGCACAACTTAATAAGGATTGAATATAAGTCTGTGTTGCAATTTATTAAAGGCTATCTAACGCTTTCTCAAATACACCACAATTTATTTTTTTTTTCAAAAATCTCAATCCGTGTAGTAAAACAAATAAGACAGAATTATTGGCACATAAACTTTAAAGCCATGTTTTAAAAATTTCCAATTTTTGTGTTGTGCCAATATTGCATATAGCCGACGAAATGAACGTTGAAGTGATTTTACAATAAAGATCGTTTATTCATTAGAAAGATAGACAAATTCAATTGTTTTTAGTACAAAAATTGAGTTCTTTATTCTCCAAAATTAGTACAAAAAATTTATTGTTACGGCTCTGTATCGAAATTACTGACCTTGCAATATCCGCTTTTTATTAGTATTTCGTCGTTCACACAGAATTTTTGATGTAATTACAAAAGTTGATTTGTTTACAACCGATAAAAATTCTATCCACTGCACTGACTCATCCGAAACTCGAAAATATCGGTTATCTGAACTGTAAACTCACTGTAGCGCCGAAATACACACAACCACGTTGAAAGTGCAAAACAAACGAGTTGACGGCCTTGATATTGACCTCCAGTCTTTCCTCTTGTTACAATTGCGAACAGATTTAATTGATTTTTGTGTTAACAAAATGTTGTTTTTTTGGATTCTTTTGGATGTAGGTATCTCTAATTTACATTTAAGATTTTTTTTTGATGGAAGATTCTTTCCTAAGGATGCGCGGTGGGAAAAATCTATTTAGCTGGAAAGATGGATATTTTATTATAACAATAATGTTTCATTATGACTCCTTGTTGACTCGTTGACACACATGTCATACACAGTAGTAGTCCATTGAAAATTAACATTGAGATAACGTTATTGAGAGGACGCAATTTTATTTTTTTCTGTGTGGGGGTGGTTAGTATAAGTTTAAGTTTGTGGGATGGCTACCCTTGTCCCCCGGCCGCCTTCTTAAAGACAGAGGAGTAAAGGGTTTTCGCACTTAATCTCCTAAATTAGCAACGCTACAGAAAATTTTATCAAACGTTATTTGTAGCAAATTAAATTTTCTACAACTTTTTCCATGACTTTTTATCGTAAAAGTCATGAAAAGTCGGAAAAAAAGTTATAATCAAACATTGAGAATAATTTTTTTCATTTTTTTTATGGTCCACTATGCTTATGGTTCACTATCTAATTCAGTATCTAAGGTGAATGCTGGCAAAAGAAAGGAAGTTAGAATATTGGCGTCATTGTGGGTAATTCATCTTCGAATTCTTCGAATTTTTCTATTTATTTTAATATTTCCATGATGTCACTGCTGGTTTTATCAGAACAATTGAGGCACACTGCAGAACATTTGAGGCCTAGTTGTAGACACCTACACTTACTTTAACAAATTTGCTTGAATCGACTGAAAATTAATTTCAAAACTTGGGAGGGTTGGTCTGGAGCCATTAAAAGTTTTGATTGGTATTGGTATATATTGGGGTTTTTTCCAGCCCCAATCTTCAGGATCGTAGTGTTTCCTGTTGATAAACACTATGGAAACGAGCTGCATCTTGTTTTGGCGAAAGCGATGATAAGTTAAATATAATTTTGGTCTTTGCCTTGGCAAATAGTTTATATCTTATGCTGTTCTTGAATCATGAATCATTATTGGACATATATGAACAAAATTGGACACTTTGGACACACAACATTGAACTACTTCCTTCCGAACGCTGTGAGCAAGACAATAGTGTCAGTGTCCTCTGCAACGGCAATCACATAATCAACAGAATCCTTAAGACATTAAATTATAAGCATTACAACCAAATAATTTGATCTTTTTCGTATTTGGCTTTTCTCCATACCAATTTTTTTACAGGAGTTTTGTTATCAGAGAGTTCGATGCTAAGTTCTATTAATTAAGTACATATGTTGCCTCTCTTACAACTTCATTTGACATATTTTTATCTAAATTTAAAATAAAAATTAAAGATGTTGCCTTTTCCGCAATGGTTATGTTAAAACGTTGAGAAACACCATTTGGTTCTGGATTCCTACTTTCCTACTGAATTTTGATTCCATTATTTGAACATTTGAACAAAAAGCTTTTGAGGAGTTTTCATCCATATTATCACACCTTATCCGTTCAATTTTTGCATTAAATTTAGCGGTGTCCATATAAATACATTTTTTTAATTTTTCTATTATTTTAGATTTCTTTTGTGTATGTAATCTTCAACTGTTTATAGATGAAGGATGAAAAATTAAAACGAAACAGGCACATAGAATTAATGTTTTATTAAACAATTGCACCATTTGAAATATTTTGCCTTAAGTCTATTTCTTAAGTCTCCGGTAAGATAATTGCATACCATCCACTGGGAATAGATTGATGGTTTTCTTTGACAACTCCACGGGTATTTTAGTCTTCTCGTTAGGAACAATCTGAAAACTGTGTAATAAATGCGCAAACAACGTTTTTGTCTCTAAAATTGCAAATCTGGATCCTATACAGTTCCTCGGTCCTAACCCGAACGGTAGATATGTATATGGTTCGATGTTGTCTTTGTTTTCGTCGCTGAATCTTTCTGGATCAAAACGTTCTGGATCAGGAAAGTACTTTGGGTCATAGTGCATCGGCGCAATGGGTAAGGAGACTAGATCACCTTTTTCTATCACAATCGGTTTTTCGTTGGGACCTTCGGGTTGGATGATATATCTCTTGTTACATTCTCTATCAGTAGCTTGGAAATTGGGCCACTTTCTTAAAGATTCTAAACATAAAAAAGTTCCTATGTTAGTACAATAATATATATTTTTAAAAGTCAAGATTAACTAATAGACTAAATTAATAAAGTTTTTTTACCTGATATCACCATATCAAGATATTTCATTCCCATTAGAGTTTCGTAGGTCATCCTTCCATTACATTTCTTGAAACCATCGTCAATTTCCTTTCTCAGTCTTGCCTGGATATCCGGATTGAGGGCTAGCTCATAAGACATAAAACACATCAAACTGGATACCGAGTCGAAGCCAGCAAAGAAGAAGATCAAAGCGTGCGCAGTAATTTCTATGTTGGTGATTTCTTTCGTAGATGCAGAATGGTTGGCTGAAAATAATAAATATTTATTCTCTACATAAAACATACATTTTTCTGTATACTCTAATAAAAACTTCCCAAAGTGTACTTAATATTCGCATTGAGGGATGAGGGGTACGGAGCCGATCTAGGGAGTTAACCGTCCGCGTACGAAAACCTAATGTGTCGCCCCCCTCTAGAGAATGTTTCATATTTTTATTAATTCTTAACAATGTAATTACTTATATATCTGTCTAAGAATAAAAAGTAAAACAATAATAAAAATGCCGTCGAACTATTGGTTGACATTAGGAAAGATGTTTCCCGATACTGAGGGTTTCTTACTTGCCATTCAGGATCAGATTATTCCAACTAAAAATTACCTGAAATATATTGTATAATCATCCTCAAAATGACAAAAGCCGATATGGATGCTAAGCCCAAGAAACCATCCAACATCTTACTGGTGGCTGCCAGACATTTGTCGGTACTGATTTTAAAAGAACTGAGTCATGAAGGCATGACTCAGTAGGAGAGATTATCCATTAAGAGCTAGCTGATAAACTGAGATTTCTCCAAACCGACCATCTTGCTTATTATCAATACGTCCCTGACTGAATACTTGAAAATGACACCTACAAGCTATACTGGGACCGCACTGTGCTTACAGACCAACCAGTGGCGCTTAATTGACCGGATCTCATACTAGTTAATAAACTTACTAGAGGAAATAAAACAGCTGGGTCTAAATGAACATTACTATAAGGCCATGCAGAAAGATGTATCAATCTTTCTCAATCCTTTTAATACCGTAGGTATCTGGGATAAGTCAATTTTCCCCTTAGAGGAAGTGTGAGCCGTATGGCTACATCTGGGATAAAAATCCCAACGAAATTTGAAACGCATAAGTTTATTTTTGGTAAGTAAAAAAATACCTCAGTGTGATACTGAGGAGTAAGCAAATAAGACCTCAGTACCGTTTAACGGTTCTCATATTTCTGAAGAACAAGTTACTGCTACGTCACAACTAATGGGAGTAGGCAGATTGATATTGTTCTGAAGCTATTTTCTTGTGGCATTGTAAATTAATTACTATTAAACTGGGAATAAGCCACAATTAAAGATAAAATACGTTTATTGACGTTTCAATTTCCACTTCGGAAATCGTTCTCAAAATACAAACAGTAAATTAAACAAATTTTGTTTTTTTGTTACATAGTGAAAAATTCTTCTAATAATTTAATTTTATCTGACTCATTTATATTGACAATTCAGACATACATTATGCATTTTAAAGTAGACGACTTTAAAATGATATTGCCAATATTGTTGAGTTGCGCTCCTGGAACGACTTTACTTATAAGATAGTTCATTCGATTACATGAAATCAACTTTAACTTGAGAATATCCGTCAGAAAAAAATCATAGCATGTAATTCGTCTTTAAAAAGACAAACACATGACATGATGACAGTAAAATTCTCCTGTTAGTGATTCCATAGTAAATTATGAGGGAAAAACCAGGAAAAAAACCTCATAATACTATCCCGACATTGTAAGTATTTGTTCGTGAATTTAGTTTACCTTCAACAAACATCAAAATTCTGATTTTATATGTTTCGTTATTTAAAAAACATAAATGATGTATCCTCTATATGTTACTGACTTACTAATACTGGTATTTTCTTATTATTAACTTCCTCTTTCAATATTGGTAACCAGATCCTACTACATTCTGCCGAGGAATTTGCGACACAATTGGCCTCATTTAGCATAATTAGAGCCGGTTCTTTGATTTTTCTTTTTTTACCATCCGTTTCTTTTAGGACTACATTTGAATTATTCCATTGAACCCTATGTTCATTATCCCATGCGTGTTTACAGATTTGAGATCTATCAAATTCTCTATTTTTAATATAAGATTGATGTTCACTTATTCTAATATTTAATGGCCTTGATGATTCACCTAAATAAAACTGATCGCATTCACAAGGTATTTTATAAATGCAATTCTTTGTCCTTTCTTGTTCATTGTTAGGTTTGGTTTTGGACAAAATAGATCTCAACCTGTTTGTGGTTTTGAATGTTGTTGAAATGTTGAATTTATTTGAAACATATAAAATCAGAATTTTGATGTTTGTTGAAGGTAAACTAAATTCACGAACAAATACTTACAATGTCGGGATAGTATTATGAGGTTTTTTTCCTGGTTTTTCCCTCATAATTTACTATGGAATCACTAACAGGAGAATTTTACTGTCATCATGTCATGTGTTTGTCTTTTTAAAGACGAATTACATGCTATGATTTTTTTCTGACGGATATTCTCAAGTTAAAGTTGATTTCATGTAATCGAATGAACTATCTTATAAGTAAAGTCGTCCCAGGAGCGCAACTCAACAATATTGGCAACATCATTTTAAAGTCGTCTACTTTAAAATGCATAATATATGTCTGAATTGTCAATATAAATGAGTCAGATAAAATTAAATTATTAGAAGAATTTTTCACTATGTAACAAAAAAACAAAATTTGTTTAATTGACTGTGTATTTTGAGAACGATTTCCGAAGTGGAAATTGAAACGTCAATAAACGTATTTTATCTTTAATTGTGGCTTATTCCCAGTTTAATAGTAATTAATAGGCAGATTGAGAACCCAATCTCGAATTTTCTTTGATTCTTCTTGATAATAGCTCCAAAATGGGTGCCGAATATTAAATTCTTAACGCGGTTATTCCCGAGAACTTAATTTTTTTATTTACGTGACCGCTTAAATCTTACCATTTAGTTTTTCGTTTTGGTGAATGCTTTTCTTAGCTTCGATAAGCAGCTGCAGCATATCTGGGCGAACGATGTTTTGGTCTTCTCGTAGCTTCAAATTCTTGTCAATTAGATCTATGAAGAAATTTCTTGAGGGGCCATCAAAGAGTTGAACATTAAAAAACTAGGAAGAAAACATATAAAATATAAATATAGAAAAATCGGAAAATATAGTGTATGAGTCACAATGCCCTAATTGACTCCATGGCGTAAGAGTAATTCGAGATGCTGAATCAACCTCTCTTAAAAAGTGTAGGCGCCAGGAATGGGAGTTGATTATGCACTTTTATGTCCCTTCGGTATCTGGATTTTTTATGTTTTTTTATTGCATAGAATCGATTTTTCGAGGATACCAAGCTGAAACTCTCAGATAATTTGTTATTGACAATTTAATTGGTTAAATGAATGTGATTTCAAAATGAAAACTGCTCCTTTTGAAAAAATGGACAAAATGCTGTTTAGTAAACTTTGATTCGATTGGTTACCAAATTTTCTGAAAAACAATTGCAAAATAGGTAGTCGATCGTGATTTTAAAAGTATCACTCAGCTTTCATACATGCGATCAACTTTCACAACACCCTAATTATAAAGGTTATTGTTTTAGCTTTATAATAAACTTCGATGATTGATTTTATTTTTATTAATAAAAAAAGTTACATATATCAATTAGATATTAAAAATTTCACTAAAAAGTTGCGAATTAATTTGTTTATAAAAGATTTAAACAAAATTAAGCTAAAAACTTGAAAAATCTGGCTAATGGAAGTTCTAAAAACTCAAAACGAACATTTTAAACTTTGGTAAATGTTTCAATCTTAATTTTTGACCAAGATATGAAACTTTTAATAACGCACTCTGAGTCACAGGCCAGCTCACAGCAAATGCGGGTGCGCGTAAATCAATTTTCAATATCTCAGTAAAAAATTAACAAGAATTAAGAATCTACAGAAAACATAGCAATATTATGGCTATAAAAAATTGTAGTTAAAGAAACAAGTTCTTTTTATATAACAGAGAGCTTTATTGTTATAGCTTATTTTGAAATCAACATTAAAGACAAAACAAGCACTCACCTGAAGTATTTTGGGCATTATAAAAAAGCCAAAAAACTTTAATCCTTTCCTCAACGACGTAAAATCTGTCATGTCTCTACCCATCAAATAAAACTCGTTATTTTGTTCCTCAAGTGAGTCCGTTCGAATACCAAAAGCAGTTGACGCAACGACGTCGTTAGCAAAACGGGTGGTTACATCTTTTATCGACACATCAAAAACATCCTGGCCCTTTTTGTGGAAATGCATAACGAAATTTTCGGCACATTCTACCATCAAAGTGAACATCATTTTCATTTTGCTGCTGGTGAAAGACGGGGTCAAGATGTGTCTCATGTCCTTCCATTTTTGGTCTAAAAATTAAAAATTAGAAATTATCGACAATATTAAATAAATAATTTCGTTATACCTTTTAAGGCCAGTAGATTTTTTGTCCATAATGGATCACCTTCGTCTGGAACAATTGCTCGGTGATTGGTGAAGTATTCGCTGTCTTTTACAGTGATTTCTTTTAACAGTTTCGGGTCTTTTATCATCAGGGTTGGAACAGTGAACTGGTAAAATCCAACATACCTGTAAATATATTACTTGTTGTAAAAAATGTGGTTTGCACATCTATCTACCACAGGATAGATATGAGTAATTTTAAACCGCAAAGTAAAAAAATTTAAAAATTTCTACCTACTATAGAATGTTCTCATTCTGTAAGTAAGAAGTTCTAAAAAGGATCACAAGATGATAATACACGATTGTTCAATTAAGCCATTATTGGCCAGGTTAGCCTTGGCAATATTTGTAATCAGTATAATAAAAAGGAATATCCCTGTGGTTGGCTGTATACCAAAATTTAAAAACTTAACAAGATAAACAATTTCTAATTTTATAATGGTCTATGTTTATTATAAAATTTAAAATTATAAAAAGGATTAAAATATTCATAATGTTTTTGATCCTATCAGACTATTCTCTGTGATATCACCTTAATAGTAATCAAAACTAACTACATTCTGCTTCTTTAATTTCCATCTTCTATCGAAGGTTGGAAATCATCATGGCAATGCGCACCCTGTTGACTGCCGCTCTAAATAGTTCTGCACATTCAAACCATTTCCTCAAGTTCTTAAGCCACGTTATTCTTCGTCTTCCCACATTTCACTTTCTTCGAATTTCGCCTTGCATAATAAGCTGCAAAAATGAGTATCTTTGCCCTCTCATAACATGGTGAAGTACTCAAGTTTTCTTCTTTTGGCAGTCAATATTATTTTAGCTTCATTTCCTGTCTTCTAGTAACTTCTGCGTTTGACATTCTTTGAGTCCATGATGTTCGTAGGATTCTTCTGTAACACCAAAATTCAAAGGCAACCAACTTATTAGATACACTTGTTTTAATGTCCATGCTTCCAAGTCATACAGTCATTAACACCGAAGCGTTGTTAGGCGTAGTACTAACCTTATATTCCGACAAAAAAGAAACTTTTAAGTTTAACGAAATATGCACGTGTTATTTTAATACGTGTCTTAATTTCTTTGGTTTGGTCTACATTTGAGCCACGTAGTAAGGTCTAATAATCCTAAGATTTCATATTAAAGATCTTAAAATTTAAAAATGACGTGACACGAAAACACATGTTGGAAGATTTTACTTTAAATAAATATATAGGTACCAATTTCTGCACGAGGAAGTTAATGCCCTGAGGTAGATATTAGCCAACTAAGCTAATATCTTGTATGTACATTTGCCAGTAGATAGTGAACCACTTCACCCTACTTTGACCCTTGTAGTCTCTTAAGAACAGACAAAAAATAACTATTACTGCCAGAGAGTAGTAGAGGGTAAGGGAGCATTACAGCAGAGGACAACAGAGGGTAGCAGTGGTTAGCAGAGCATCACAGCAGAGGGAAGCAGAGGATAGCAGAGGGTAACAGCACAGAGACGTGGCGTTTGAAGCGACGTACATGGCATCTACCCTGAGTTGTTACCCTTTGCTACTCTTTGCTGCGCTGCTCTGCTAACAACTGCTACCTTCTGTTGTGATGATTTGTTACCCTCTGCCACTCTCTTCCAGTAATAGTTCTTTTTTCTCTGTTCTTTAGAGGGTGCAAAGGTCAAAGTGGGGTAAATTCTCTTATTATTTACTCTTCACCTCACTTTGACCTTTGTATCCTCTTAAGAACAGACATAAAACAACTATTACTGACAGAAAATGGCAGATGGTAACACACATCTCATGAAAAAATAAAACAAAGTAAGAAGAGAAGGAAGAAAAAAATTAACAATTTATGTGATCTAACAAGCAAAAGATACCCTCGATATCAGTTGTGTACTAATAAATATTAAAAATAATACTTATTTATTAAATGGTACTGAATAATACTGACCTAGCATCTGGGTCTAGATTATACGCTGTATGGTATGGTTGTCCAAATGTTTCCAGCCTGAATAAGGCCTTCCAGTTATCACCAAAGAGCCATATGGGTCTACCTTGTATCACTCCCCGTTTTTTCCAGTAATTCATTGGTCTGATTGCATAGTAATAGAAGAGTACTATTACTATGGCTATAAGAACTAATTGCAGCATAATTCACGATTTGCCTACAAAAAAGACGCAAAGAGTTATTGAAGTAGATCAGATGAATCAATGAAATATTTTAAGAATGTTTTATTATGTTTTGACAATATTGTGCAATTATACGTAACATTAAAACATCTAATTTAGCTTCTTTAACCAATACCATGAAGAAAAGGGCCAGGAATGTATCATCATCATCATCATCATCATCATCATCATCATCATCATCATCATCATCATCATCATCATCATCATCATCATCATCATCATCATCATCATCATCATCAATCAGAAGTTATTTGTTGAACATAGATCTCCTCCAGATATGTCTCTGCTATTCAATTGACCACAATTCTTTTAATGTCGTCAGTGTATCGCGTTGGGGGGTTTTCCCGGTTTTGCTTGTCTTTTTGTGGTCACCACTCAAACAATTTTTTTGTCTACCTGTTGTCTTTCGTTCTGGAAACATGTCCTGCCCATCTCCATTTTTGTCTTGTGATAATGTCTTGCATTGCTGTTCGTCGACAAACTTCTTTTCATGTTTCATGTTTCGTGTTCATGTTTGACAGGGTAAGACTAAAAGATGTTATCCATCTTCTGTATTATAGAGAAGTTCCCCTAAATATTATAACAACTATGAAAAACATCTACCAAAACAAAATGGAAGTCAGAATAGATGGACAACTTACAGAACATAGAGAAATAGGCAGCGGAATAAGACAAGGAGACTCATTAAGCCCCATGCTCTGCAATTTAATCATTGATGAAATCATCACAAGCGTTAATAGAGAAAGAGGATACAGAATGGGAAACAAAGAAATGAAAATTTTTTGTTACGCAGACGACGCAATATTGATAGCTCAAGATGAAGATATTTTGCAAAGACTGGTCAACAGATTTTTACCATAAGAGTGAAAGAATTTATTATGCCAATCTCACCTCAGAAAACTAAAACAATAGTAGTAAGCAAATAACCAACCAGATATAAAATAGAAATTGATGGCATCAGTATTGTACAAGTAATGGAAATAAAGTACCTGGTAATTACAGTGTCTAGCTATGGAGACCTGGACAAAGAAGTGAGAGATCAAGTACAAAAAGCAAATAGAGTGGCAGGGTGCCTTAATAACACTATATTGCGAAACAGACGAACTAACACTGAGATGAGAATTTATAAAGCCATTTTAAGACCAATGACATATGCCACAGAAACAAGACCCGGCACAGCCACAACGCAAAGGATACTGGAAACGACAGAGATGAGAGTACTGAGAAGAATTAAAGGAACTACGCTTAGAGATCGAAAGAGAAGTGAATACATTAGAAGAAAATGTAACCTACAGTGTATAAATGAATGGACACAAAATAGAAACACATAAGCAGAATAGAGGCGTGACAACCTGCCATAAAGGTATCAATCCGCCAATGAACAAGCAGAATTATTGATAAAGAGGAAGAAGAAGAAAAAAAAGTTGTTTCGTGTTTCATGTTTTATATCAACTTTTCTCGGGCTGATGTTATTGTATCTTGTACTTCTTCGTTTAAGTTGTTTAAAATTTATTTTGTGCTGTTTCTCAGTAAGTTACTGCATATATATTGTTCAGAGTCAAGTTTATTCGTTAGGCGTATCCAAAGTTTAAATTTTTTACCTTTTATCATCGTCAGTGTTTCTTGCTTAACATTTACTTCTGCAGTTGCTCGGAATATTTTATGATCGCTTGCGAACGAAAATTTATTTAAATCTAAAGTTTGCAACTTCTTTAACTATTGTTTTTCGTCCGTGATGATAAAGTTGATCTCGCTTGTATTCTTACCATCGGAACTCCTCCAATAACTTCTTCTATGGATCATCTTAAAGAAGAAGCTATTCATAAAATATAAATTTTTTTCTAACAAAAAATTTAACAGTAAATTTAAGTCAGTAAGAAATTTAAGGGGCCAAGAATTAATAATATTATTATGGTTTATTGGTATGAAAACAATTAATTTAGTCAAAGGTGTGTATTAACGTTAATCTGCCATTTACGGTGTTTGTAATTTGTTTTATTGATTACATATTATAAATTTATATTTATATATTTATAAAAAAAGAAGAGGATATAGAATGGATTAAAAGGAAATAGGAATAAAATGCTACGCCATAATAACAGCCGAAAATGAAGATAACCTACAAAGATTAATTAAAGAATTCGAAGATACGGCGCTCATATACAACATGATAATCTCAACAGAGAAAACTAAAGCGATAATATCAGCGGAACCGAGACGATGTAAACCAGTCGTAAATAACAAAATAATAGAACAAGTGATAGAAACTGAATACTTGGGAATAAAACTGTCAAGCTACAAAAGGAGTGAAAGAAGAAGTGCAAAAACAAGCGAACGTGGCAAACAGAGCAGCAGGATGTTTCAACAACACAATCTGGAGAAACAAATACCTTACAACGAAAACGAAAACCAGGATATATAAATCAACAATAAGACCGATAATGACGTACACAGCGAAAACAAGAGCAGATACGGCGAAAACACAAAGACTGCTGGAAACAACAGAAATGAAAGTCTTACGAAAAATAACAAACCAAACTCTAAGAGACAGAGTAAGTGAGAAAATACGAGCGAGATGTGATATAGAGGAAATAAACGCGTGGACCAAAAGAAGAAAAGTGGAATGGAATCAACGCATCAAAAGAATGACAGAAAATAGAATAGTACGAGTAGCAAGAGACAAATCGCCAAATGGAAGAAGATCATTGAGACGACCGAGGAAAAGATGGTCAGACAACGTCAATTGAGGTTAAAACCGAAGTAAAACAGCCATTAAGCCTATTTATATAGTAGGAAGAAGAATAAGATATAATAAATTTTCAGGGCTGTTTATGCTCCTAGTCAAACATCATCATCATCATTAGCGACAGTACAGCTCGTTATGAGCCGAAGCCTTCTTCAGAACAATCTTCCATTCGCCCCTGTCTCTGTGCTTTAACTCCGATGGATTCTAGATGATCCTCTATGTTATCTTGATACCTAAGTTTTGGTCTTCATCTGCCTGGTCTTCCCACTGGTCCTCTTCGGTCGAAAATTTTTCTGATCGTTGCATCTCCATCTCGCCTAATTACATGTCCTATCCATCTAAGGCATACTAATTTAATACATTTTACAATGTCAGGTTCCCCAAAACTTCTGTATAACTCAAAGTTGTAGCGCTTACGCCACAAACCCTGTTCTTGGAACCCTCCATATATTTTCCTTAGAATTTTTCTCTCTAAACGTTTAAGCAATTCTTGGACGTTCTGTGAAAGTGACAATGTTTCTGACCCGTATGTTAACACTGGCCTTATTCGTGTTTTATACTTATATGATAACTTTAATTTTTCTGGGTAGTTTTGGGGCCATCTGTTTCCTTAAGCTATAACAGCACTTATTGGCAAGCACTATTCTTCTTTTCATTTCTTCGCTGACATTGTTGTCTTTGGTCAGCAACGATCCCAGGTAGACGAAGGTGTCCACACCTTCCAGTTCCAGATCATATTAATAGTCTAGGTATCCTATTGCCTGATCCAGCACAATACATATACTTGGTTTTCTGTGTGTTTATTTTTAATCCCATTCTCAGTGTAGACGCCCTCATGATCAAAATGCCTTGATCAGAGATTCTGTGGACCTAGCAATAATGTCTATGTCATCTGCATATCCGATCACTTGTACGGATATTTCAAATATGGGGAATTAATAGTCTAGGTATCTGGCTGCCTGATCTAGTACAATATATATATATATATATATATATATATATATATATATATATATATATATATATATATATATATATATATATATATATGGTTAGGATAAACAATATCGTTGTTGTAGATAAATTTGTGTATCTGGGCTCATTAATAACCAACAAAGGAGGCTGTACTGAAGAAATAAAGCGGCGGTCAGCAATCGCAAAAAGCGCTATGGCAAAATTAACAAAAATTTGGAAAAGCCATAAAATTACTACCGATACAAAAATGAGACTAGTAAGAAGTCTAGTTTTTCCAGTTTTTACTTATGCATCGGAATGCTGGACCCTTACTGAGAAAGACAAAAAGAACATAGATGTATTTGAGATGTACTGCTGGAGACGAATGCTGAGAATACCATGGGTGGCCCGAAGAACAAATGAATCCATACTGGTCCAGCTAAACATAAAGAAAAGACTAAGAACACAAATAACAGAACAGATAATAAGCTATTTTGGACATGTGCTTCGAAGAAATGGTCTTGAGAAACTTACCATCCAGGGAAAAGTAGAAGGCAAAAGAAGTAGAGGTAGATCTCCTACACGATACACGGACCATATTGTTGCTACCATTGGCGCTCCATTGTCAGAATGTGCTAGATTGGCAGAAGATAGAAAAACGTGGAGGAACATTGGAAAAATTACCTAACAGCTTCATGATATCACGATACCTGCATCAGGTTAACGACTAAGAAGAAGAAGATATATATATATATATATATATATATATATATATATATATATATATATATATATATATATATACTTGGTTTTCTGTGCGTTTATTTTCAATTCCATTCTCAGTGCAGGCGCCCTTATGATCGAAATGATTCGATCAGAGATTCTGTGGACATAGTAATAACATCTATGCTCCCAGTCAAACACTAGTTAATATTTTTGGAACCTACCTACATAATTAATACATTAATAACCCAAACCATACATAAAACAACAATAAAAATTGCTTTTGCAGAAACCAAAATAATATGCATAAATTAATAAAAGGAAAAATTCCAAATAATTATTAAACGCCGCCGCTAATAAAAAGAGAAGAAACCAGAAAAGAAACTTTAGTAATAATATAATAATAATAATATATATACATATATGTAATGTATGTGTACTTATTTACCTTATAATTTGTGTTTTCTACTTTTTTGAACAAAAATCACTTAAATCGATTAAGTCTTTATTATATATTTTTTGTATTTGCACACCTTGCGCAATTTTTTGGTTCCCAAAAACCACAAACCATACGCGAACGATTATTCCACGTTATAGTTCATTCACTGGCACTGACCGCTACACGATTCACTATTAAAAAAACCTGTTTAATTTTTATCAGTGGGGATTACAACATCTTAAGTAAAACGTATGACCAAAATATTATATTATCCGTTTGAAAAGGGATGATTCTATCACAGGCGATTACACAGGAAAATAAAAGCATAAAAAAAGAATACAAATATGCTTTATCAAGATTTATTGACGATAGAAGTCAAGAATAAAAGTTGGGAAGATGATCGTCACGAATTCGATACTTACTTACGGATAAGATATGGACTTTTTACTGAACAAACTAACTTAAATCCTAATAGAAATATTTAATAGATTCCTTCATCTCCATGAAGAACTAGCACCGCAAACGTTAAAGGAAGGTTCGTCATTATCATTTGGCTCTATAACTCTATGTGACTCTTAGCCGCGTTTACTATTTCCCTCCATTGTTCTCGGTCCTGAACAGCTATTTTCCATTGCTGTATTCGCATTTTCCTTAGATCACTGGCTTCTGCGTCCTTCCATCTCTTTCTTGGGCGACCAACTGACCTTCTGCCATCAGGCCTCTCCCATAATGTGGCGCTCAGGGATCTTAGTACGTGGCCCGTCCATCTTATTCGGTTTACTTTAATGTAACGTACTATGTTTTCATCTCCATGTACTGTCTGGAGTTCATCATTGTGGCTTTTTCTCCATTCTCCTGTTGTCTCTTCTTTGCAAGGCCCATAGATAGTCCGCAGTATCTTTCTTTCCAGTACCAGTAATTTTGTCTTTCCTGCTGGTTCAGAGTCCATAACTCGCTTCCATACGTTATTGTGGGATGAATTATTGGCTTATACTTATTTTTGCTGGTATTGAGAGTATTTTTTATTTAAGTACGGTCATTATTGAGTAATGTGCCCTGTTTCCTGCACTGCTCCTGGCTGCTACGTCCTTTTCATATTTATTTTCAGATGTTATGATCGCTCTCAGGTACTTGAATTCTTTGACGACTTCAAAGTTGTATTCATTGATTGTTATGTTTTTTCTAACCATTGGCCTTGGGTTCTTCGTAATCACCATGTACTTGGTCTTGTCCTCGTTGACCTTCAGACCAACTTCCTTGGCTCCGTTTTCGAATAGGGTTAAAAGTTCTTTTGCATCTCTGGTGGATTGTGCAATTGTGTCCACCTCATCCGCAAATGCCAATAATATTACAAATATTGACAAACATTGACAAACAAATCTGCCGCCACTCCTTGGGCGGCAGATTTGTTTGTCAGTTGTGGTTGAGCTTTCCTTACCGCATGTTCTAGTGCAAAATTAAATAGCAGAGGGCGATAGGATCTCCTTGTCTAAGCCTGGTGTCAATGAGGATTTCCTCCGACGTGGTGCTGCCAATTCTGATCCATCTGGAAGCGTTCTCTGTGCTAATCGTACCAGCTTTTCAGGTACTCCCATTTCTACCATGGTCTCTCACAATGCTTCTTTGCTAACAAAATCGTAAGTTTGTTTAAAGTCAAAGATTTGGTGTACATGGTTAAAAGGAAGGTTGGATAAACTTTATACACAAAAAGGCAATAGGTAAGAATGAAATAATTGCAGAGGTATGACAGTAACAAGCACTGTTAGTGGAACATATGGTATAGTAATAAAGCAGATGTTATGCTAGACATACTACTAGTATTAATAAAAAGAACAAAATGGCTTTAGAGCTGACAAATCAACTATTGACAGCATATTCTGCCTATCTCAAATAATAAAAAAGAAAACAAGATTCAAAGCTTTCATCCTCTTCTTCTTCTCATGGCATGCAAACGCATCTATTCTTTTTTCTATTTTAGAGTCCATTGTCCAACTTTCACAGCCATACAGTAAGACAGAAAAAACGTAACATCTGATCATTCAGATTCTAACCTGCAGACTAAGATTTGATCTTGTAAAAAATGTTTTCATGCTCATGAATGTTTTCCTTGCTTGTTCCATTCTCGATATGATTTCCTTTTTTGGATTACACTGACTATTGATGTTTACTCCCAAATATGTTATGGAATTTACCTGTTCTATTATTTCACTCTTGCCATACATATGTACGTTTATTGGTGGCTTTGAAAATACTAAAGTTTTAGTTTTGGAAACGTTTAGATGTAAACCGAACATTTTGCTGTGGTGAACTACAGAATTTATTATATTTTGTGCGTTGCTTGCTATTACGACGGTATTATCAGCATATCTGATGTTGTCTATGCTGATTCCGTTAATCTTAATTCCGCCTAGGACCTCGTCTAATGCTTCTCTCAATATAGGCCCCGAATACAAATTAAACAGTAGCGGTGATAAGACGCAACCCTGTCTCACTCCTCGTCGGTATATCTTCGGATGTTGTGTGCTCTATTTCAATTGTTGCCATTTGGGGCCAGTATAGTTCTGAGTCTAGGCTTTTACTTTCGTTATCTGCAATTAGTTTTAGTATTTCGACATTGATATTGTCTGGACCGGTGACTTTTCCATATTTCTGAAATTTTACTGCGTGAATCACCTCTTCTTTGGTTATTTTTGGGCCTTTTTCATTTAATCGATTATGTGTGGATGGTGGAAAACAAGGTATATCATCGTCAAAAAGAGTTTGTATGTATTCCATTCTTTCCATCTCTCTAGTTTGTCTTCTGTACCCACAATTATTTCGTTATTATCATTTTTTAATACTGTTACTTGTCTCTTTTTATGTCTACCTGCCATTCCTTTTACTTTTTTACGAATATTAAAGGTGTCGTATTTTTCCTGAAGTTTTTCGATTTCTAGGCATTATGTTGAGATGGGCAGATGATACGATACGAAGCACGTAGGCTCTAGGTGGATGACTGTAGCGATATACAGAGAAGAATGGAAAATGATTGGGGAGGCCTATGTCCAAAGATGGACCGAAGAAGGCTAATTCGATAGATAGATGTTGACATCCATTTTCATCCTAGGTTCATCTTTTTGAAAAAAGTGTACAAATTCAAACGGTTATGTTATATACTCATATAAGTTATATGATAAGTAGAAAGGTAGCTACTTGGGTGCACGTACTTCAAACTGCTTTATGACAATAAAAAATATATTTGTTTTGCAATAATATAAAGTTTTAGTAGTTAAAACCTTATAAATAAATTACATGCCTTTTTTAAATAAAAACATTCCGTTTATAATTGCTATAATTTTGTTTTAAATGATATTTTTATTATAATTAAGATTTAATTTTAAAGTTGGTAGTTTTTCCTTTAATTTGAGCTGATATAAAGTTATTTTGCTCCAAATGCATCCGAGTTATAAGAGATATCATCTAAATGCCATAATTTTGCAATGTTTTTGCTATATCTCCCGTTCTTCTTACTGGATCAAGGTTTACCAAACATCATTTTATAGGTTTTCTGTAACGGAACAAATGGCATTTTGTAAAAATGATTTATATTTGTTAGTCAATTCCGACACAAAAATCAATTTAAAATTCGAATTCAGCGGGTCAAAATTAATTAAAATTCACTTTAAAACTTGTGGTCACGAACGAGTTCTGGCCCCTAGACTAAATTGGGTACCAAAAGGTTGGATAAAAATACTAAATATAATAGTGAAAATTAGTTCATATTTTTTGGCATCTTTTAAAGCCTAACTTCAAGCCACCTTCCGGATGCAGAGTGAAATGTTTCTTAGATGCTTGTACGGGAATTTGAGTGTCTGCAGTTGGAACTATCTCAAAATTATGGAGTACATGTGCAAACCAGCTCTTGGTCTCCATCAGAGCAAATCTTGAACCAATACAGTTCCTAGGTCCTAGTCCGAATGGTAGATATGTATATGGGTCAATCTTGTCCTTGTTTTCGTCGTTAAATCGTTCGGGGTCAAAGCGTTCTGGATCAGGGAAGTATTTGGAATCGTGGTGGATTGCTTTAATAGGAATTTGTATCAATAAGTCTTTTTGGACAATTATTGGCTTCTCGCTTGGGTCTTCGGGTTCTATCGTGTAGGTTTTGTTACACCATCGGTCTGACAAGGGAAAACTTGGCCATTTTCTTAGACTTTCTAAAAAAAAGCGTCACGTTATCAAACACTACATTTGTAGTTTTAAATAAACATACATACCTGAGATAACCATGTCTAAATATTTCATTTTCATCAACGTCTCGTAGTTCATTTTACCGTTACATTCTTCAAACCCAGCATCAATTTCTTGTCTTAATCTATCTTGTATATCTGGATGAATAGCTAGTTCGTAGGACGTGAATGCTATCAAACTAGATACTGAATCAAAACCAGCAAAGAAAAAAATGATAGCGTGTGCAGTAACGTCTTCTACGTTTATTTCTTGTATAGCAGAAGAGGACTTTTCTGAAAGAAAATTTAATATATATAAAAGGGTTATCTACGTACTCATCAAATTATACATAAAATTAAATGTAATATAAAATTCAAAATTGAATTTTCGCCTTATCAACCATAATTGCCAATCTCAATTTCAAAACATTACTTAACCTTTAACTACGGGCGCCCCTCCATTAGTCATAACTACGTGCGCGGTGTATTCTGTACACCACCGACTAAAAACGCAAATAAAAGCCACAACTAGGTCTTTTTAGTACATATATTGTATATAATAAATGTAGGCATATATTTAAGAGAATGTCTTAACATAAAAAATAATACATAACGAAAATATAAAGATTAGCAATAAATATAAGAACAAAAACTCAACCACTTCTTTTTCTCTAAAAATAACCTTCTTGAGATTCTTGTATATTAGCTTAACATTAAAAATATTATAAAACTAGTATATAAATCTAACAACTAGGAGTAAATAATCATTCACAAATGAACATATTTGAGAATATGTGTGCTATTCACTTTCGTTTTCTTCCTCGTTTGCATCTACTAAATTACAATTTGCACAAATTGTAACAGAGTGCTCTTTACAAACTATTCTATTACATTTGTTGCAAGATATTGTTGTAACTCTATTTTTGCTCGTTCCACAACAATGGCACCTCCCCCGTTTTTTTGCTGGTGGTTCTTCATCGTGGTCGTCTTGTACGTTTTTGTATTTCGTCAAGAATATTTTTAAATCCAGAGGTAAACTCTGTATTTCCGCCCTCTCAGAAAGATGAGGTCTTATCAATGCCAATGATAATTCTTTTAGAAAAACTCTTCTATATTTTTGAGGATTGTCGATGTTGGCAGCATTGTACCGGATCTGGCCGTTAATTCCGGCAATATTCAGGAGTTGAAAAAACAATGCCATTGGCCATCTTCGTGTTCTTCGGGATACCGAATAGGTACTGCACATTTTGTCTACAGTGTCTACGCCTACTTTATGTGAATTATAGTCTAAAATTATCATTGGCTTTCGTGTTTCGGGATCTACTGTAGAATTACTGTGCATGGTAGATAGGAGAATGACAGCTTTATTTTTTTTTGGTGTGTAGGATACAATGGTAACTTGAAAGCCAAAAGTGGATGATCCAATTGGTGTGTTTTTTCTTGGTAAAAACTCTGGAGGTAGTTCCCTTTTATTTCGTTTAAGTGTGCCAACCATCGTTATCTTTTCCTTCAAAAGGTCAATTGCCAACGAATAACTCGTACACCAATTGTCGCATGTTAAATTACGGTTTTTACCTTTCCAAGGTTGAAGCAGGCGTTAGATTTTTTGTAGGGCCCTTCCGGTTGTTGACCACAATACACCTCAAAATTGGTGACATAAAAGGTCTGAGCGTCACATAACACAAACACTTTTAAGCCATACTTTGCAGGTTTACTTCGAATGTATTGCACAAAGTTGCATCTACCTCTAAAAGGTATCAACATTTCATCGATAGTCATTTCTTCTCCCAAGGAATAGTTGCTGCTACAGTTTTTCATAAACGTATCAAGAGTAAAGCGAATGACAGCAAGTTTGTCAATTGATTTTCGGTCCTTTCGAGTATCTTTGTTGTCAAACCTAAGAGCAGCAAGCAAAAATAAAAATCGATCTGCGCTCATACAGGCTCGAAAGATTTCTGAGCCGGTACCATCTTTTGTCCACAATTCGAGGAAGTGTCTATGATTTTGTTTTTTAGTCCCTGCAAGAAATAATAATCCTAATAATGCCATGATTTCCTGTTTAGTCGTATCTTTAGCCCATCTTGGCCGTTCATAATTTAATCGCATTTTTGCAATCTGCAAATTTGTACATTCAACTATATTTTCTATGATTTCATTTGTAAAGAGTTTTTCAAAAGCACTTAGTTCCGTAGTAACATCTCTCGCACAAATTGTTGGCCCAGGAAATATCTTGACAATATTTTTTGAAGGAGTTTTAGTAAATTTGCTAAGAAGAGATTTCTTATACCATTTAGTTTTTCTGTCTTTTGCTATAAAATAATCATTGTCTTCATCAAGATCTGAACTGTTTTCAATGTTACTGTTTGTGTCCGAGTCAATCGTATATTGATTTTCGTCATTCAGATCAACTTCTGATTCCGTGTCGTGGTCCGTTTTTTTTATTAGCTCGTCGTCTGAAGTATCTGGGTCTCCACCAACATCTTCATCAGATTCTTCCTCAAATATAGCTTGAGTCATAGCTCTAAGTTCATCATCTGAGTAGTATTGCTATGGAAGAAAGAACATGAAAAAACAAGACCACAAAAACAACTAGAAGGTCGTTAAATAGTCCAATAATAGATACTCACAAATATCCAAATAGATAACGGTATATTAAGTTATGAGAAAATGCTAAAATAAAATATTTGATTAAATGTATTATCATAAAACTAGTTTTATTATAATAAAATGAAAGTTTTATTAAAATTTTAATAACAAATTACAAATTTTTTTATTCAAAACGTTGCAAAATGTCTAGCTTTTGTTACATATAAGTCGCTATACATTAATAATGCTATTTTTTAGTAGATAAACGTAATATAAATCTCACAAAATTTACTTACATAACTAGGTGCTTAGTGTACTACATACACCACTGGTAAACTTCTCCTGAATTTTTCCAACCGTCAGTCTATCTCTGCAGCAATCAACTTTACAACTGTTGAGGTTTATTTATAGCTGACACATCAGAGATAGGTTAGGTAGAGGGACACGTGCGCAACCAGTGCTTATCAGAAATAGCGGCCAATTTAGTGCGACTGGTGTACTGAGTACACCGTAGCCCGTAGTTAAAGGTTAATCAAAACCTTAATAATAATTCCTACTGCTACCTTTAATCCCCGTCCGGCCCTCTCGAAATATATGTAGTTTTAGGTTATGCAAAAGAAAAATCGCTCTATTGACTATCGGCTTCTATAGAATACAGCGCTGCGCTGCTTCTCCTTGATTTTCGATAGACGTGCTATAAAAAGTAGTGACTTGTGGTAAAAACTGGTTAAAAAGAAAAATAACGTGTACACCTGATAAAGCTACTCGAATCCGCTAAAGACAAATCGAACTTATATGAAAAATAGAAAATCAGTTATAAAAAGAAGCTCTGAATGTGAAATCCTATCATTCTCGTCATAGAAAGTAATAATATCATAACTTTATACAAAAGCTAGAGCTGCCATCTGAGAATAAAAGCAAAAATTTAGAAAGCAGAAGATTTCTAAGTCTTCACAAAACCAAATTCAGACCAAAACTTAAATCTCTGCCTACGACGATTTTCAAAGCAAGCAGACGATGAATGGACCGACATATCCTACAATCTTCACAAACTTTTGCTCCTGTTTTTTTTGGGCAATGGTACGAACTCCGATTTGAGCCACTCTACTGGTATTTTTCCTGCTTTGTACATTTCATTAAATATTTCAATTATTATTTTTATTTGTTCTGCATCCAAAAGCTTTAGCAGTTCTGCAGGAATTTTAGCAAGTCTTGTTGCCTTTCCATCCTTCATTTGTCTGACGGTTTGGTAGGTTTTTGTATTGTTTTAAGGATGTGGAAAAGATTCTTCAAGTATTCTTCCCATAATTTCTTTTTATTTTTTTTTTGGTTATGGCAAGATTGCCTTCATCACCTGCTATTTTTCCGCTGTTCCGTTTTCGAAACTTTCCAGCTATTTCCTTCACCTTTCGATGGACATTGAAGGTATAATATCGACTTTGTTCTGTTTTTTGTTTTTATTTGGCTTCTCTTATCTTTCTTCTGACGATGGCTCTATATATTTCTTCAGGTGTTGTTCTTTTATGTCTCTCACTGTTTTTTGTATCATGGTCAGACTTTTCTCTGTAGTTGCTGTCTTTCTGCATTTTACCACCTTTGTATTCAGGTTTTCACTCACCTTCAGTCGAACATTGGGATCTTTCAGTTTTCTAACCATATACTTCTTCGTCGACTTACTTGCAACCTTCTTCATTCTGACTTTAAAATTACCTGCAACTGGTATATGATCAGAATTTATGTCTGCCCCGGATATCTTTTGACATATGTACAGCTGTTTCTAGGATGTTCCAGCATGTAGTCAATCTGAGTTCTTACAATTCTTCTCACAAAATCTTGTGCAGATTTCCAGGTGTACAATTTCCTTGGGTGTAGCTTAAACCATGTGTGTATTATTATTAATTCATTTGCATCTGCAAAAATCTCCAATACATGTTCCCGATCCTTCTGGTTTTTTAGTCTAAATGGTCCAACTTTGGCGTTGAAGTCACCCATGACCATTGTTAGGTCTTGCTTTTTCAACCTTTTCATGAGTTGATTAATGCTTTGGTGTAATTCTGATTTTTCTACTAATTTTGTTAATATAATGCCGACACCTAATTCTTGCTGTTATCTATTCCAGAATGGTAAACTCGGTGCTCCCCGATACTTACGGCTCCTGAACCTAGCCAACGCATTTCACTTATTCCCAGAATATTTAATTTCATGTGTGCCATTTCTTGTATTGCATCATGGATTTTATCTTCCTGTGCCATGGTTTTCACGTTCCATGTGCCTATTCTGATGTTTTCTTTGCAGTTTAATCTTTTTGTTATACTTGTAACTGCTCCTCCCGAAGATCCGATTAAGGTGCTTACTCCGTAATTGAATTTCGCTGCAAGCATAGCCATTTGAGGTGAGTTGTCCCAATCTTTCTTTCTAATCTCTATGCTGTTGAGTGCTTCCACGGTTCCTATGCCTTTGAAGCCAGTTTCTTAACTCCGGGACAAAGGAGTGCCCTACCGTTTACTAGCTCCTCCGCCCGAAGCCGTTGGTCAGTAAGTGTGGGATTGCTTATACCGGCAATCGCTCGAAGGAATTTTCGCCATATCTAGCTACCCTCACTTAGTTTAGCCTGCAGACCAATGCAGTTGCCCAGGGTGTGGCTCGTGGAGCCATAAGTGGGAATAAGGTGTCTTATGAGGACCAGTTATCAAGAACCATTTCCCGTCTATGACGCTCGATATGGCCGTGGCTCGATAAAAGGTGCTACCTTAAAGTATCTACCTACCTACCTTAAATAAACGAGTAAATAAAGATATAGGAAAAGCGGTTGTGATTTGATTTCTTTAAGTTATATGAAAAAATTATCTATGTGATAACCGCATTGCTAAAGCGAGTGTACTACAGTAATATTGATGAGTGTTTCATAAACTTTTTAGGTAATTTACAATAATTTCCAAGGATAGATGAAGGAAATTTTTCAGAATATTTCTTACCAGATTCTAAATTTTTCTTCGCTTCCATTAATAAATGAATCATATCGGGTCGAACGATATTTCTTTCTTCTCTCTCTCTTAATGTTTTTGCTATGAGATCCAAGAAAAATTGTCTGGAATATCCATCAAAGAAGGAAACGTTGAAAAACTGAAAGTATGAATTAAAAAATAGTTTCATAAAATGGAGTTTTAGTACTAAAAGCATTTGAATATACGTAAAAAATGTACGTTTTCGAACAGTTAGGAAGTTTTCTTATCTATACAAGATAATACAAGATAATACAAGTTAATACAAGATAATACAAGATAATACAAGATAATACAAGATAATACAAGATAATACAAGATAATACAAGATAATACAAGATAATACAAGATAATACAAGATAATACAAGATAATACAAGATAATACAAGATAATACAATATAATACAAGATAATACAAGATAATACAAGATAAATACAATTAAACAGATAATCATAATTATAAGTAGAAACAATAAGACTACTTAAAAGAGTTTATTTATTTGATTGTATTACTCTTATAATAAAAAATTAAAAATATTAACGAAATATACAAGCCTTGATGTACGTACACTTTATTTATTGGTTTTTATTTTGTTTTCATTCATAGCGTTTCATGCTTACCTCTAATACTTTAGGAATTAACATAAACCCGAGGACCTTAAAAGACTTCTTTATATCAGTAAAATTTGTAATGTCATCACCCATTACATAAAAATCGTTATTCGGGTCTTCAAGAGAGTTACTGTGAAAACCAAATGCAGTCGAAGCAATAACGTCGCATGTAAATCGTCCACCGACATCCATCATTGTTACTTGTACCACATTTTGGTTTTTTTCACTTATGTGTTTTACAAAATTGATAGAACATTCTTCGATCAGTGTAAACATCGTCTTCATTTTGCTACTGGTGAAGGATGGGCTAAGAATGTGGCGCATGTCCTTCCATTTTTGATCTTAAAAACATTTTGAAACTAGTAAAAAATGAAGAAGTGAATATAAAAATGTTTTTGATATAAATATCGTACGAAATGTGTAAAATATGAAATGTATAATGTGAAATAATGTATATTGTGAAAAATACCTTTTAGTCCTATTAAGTTTTTGGTAAATAGTGGGTCTCCATTTTCGGGAAGAATTTGTCTTCTATTCATAAAATATTCTGCATCTTTTAACATTATTTTTTTCAAAAGTTTTGGATCTTTTATCATTAATACAGGTGTCGTAAATTGATATAAACCCACAATTCTGAAAAACAAATGTTAAATCAATTTAAAAAATTCCTTAAAACATAAATTTTAAAATTCTGCCTATCACTTATTCGACCAATGAAATTTTAGTCTTATTTTTATATTAGACCTTAGGCATGCTTTTGTCCGATCTTAACACTGTAATCTTAGTATTTGTGACGTTTGCTGCCAGCAATTTTCCAAACTTATCTAAACCGCGACCCCTTTTTGCTAAAAAAATTGTTCGCGACCCCCCAATTTCCACCCACTCATTTATTTAATATTATTTGACAGAAATAGCGTGCCGTATTTACAATTATCTGATGGTTTCTCAAATTTAATTTTACTTTACTGTTTAAGTTTAAATCAAAAACAATTATTTTATTTTAATACAATTATTTTAATGATTGCGATCTGTCCCACTAGTAATTAGTAGTAGGTACTTCTGCCAGAATAGCATTTACAATAAAAATAAATAATAAGAAGTCGACTGCACATTGTAGACCGCAACATATTAGCTTGTGTCTACATCGCAAAAGTCTTCCATGATAATCGCGAAAGCGCTCGCTACTAGATGGCACTCTGGAACGTTTTTGTAGCCTCGTTTTGGCTTTATATAAGCGGCGATGCGCAACGAAACCTCAGTTCGAATCCAAACAGCCTATGGTAGCGAACGCGGTGTTGAGTAATGAGTAAATATTTTACGACTTACGTATTCCCGTTTACGTATTTACGTCTACGATAAATTATAAATTATTGATAAGTTTTTAAAAGAAGTGCTGAACCATCTACGTCTGAAAGTGGCAGTAGCAGCAATAAAAAGAAAAACAGATTCTACATTGATGAATATCTTAAATATGGTTTGACCGTTATTTCCAATAAACCACAATGTGTTATTTGTGGACAAGTCTTATCAAAAGAAAGCACGAAGCCATCAAAGTTACTTCGACATTTAAATAGCAAACATCCAGACAAAAAAGACAAGCTCGTAGAATTCTTTGAAAGAAAGCTGAACGTCCTTCACCAACAGCAAGACAGTTTTCCCTTGGCAACTACTACTAATGAAAATGCATTATAAGCAAGTTATAAAGTTGCTTATCGTGTTGCCAAAACTAGTAATCCGCAAACAATTGCTGAAAATCTGATTTTTTCAGCAGCTGTTGAAATGGTACATATAATGTGTGGGGAAAAAGAGGCTGCAAAATTAAACACAATACCTCTGTCAAATAATACTTTCCAAAGAAGAATTAGTGATATGGCAGAAGATATTCAAGCGCAAGTTGTGGACAATTTTAATAAACGCACGACGTACTTCTCTCTTCAAATGGACGAATCCATAAATATATCTAACCCATGTGCCCAATTCATTACGTTTGTAAGATATGATACCAATAATGGCATTCAAGAAGATATTTTATTTTGTTCCCCATTGGAGACCAATACCACTGGAAAATGTTTACTCGACACTTTTGTGAAACGTACAAGTAAATATGATATTGACTGGGATAAATGTATTGCTATATGCACAAATGGCGCTAAAGCTATGACAGGACATAAATCTGGTCTTGTCGTCAAATTACAAGAAATAATGCCTAATGCCAAATGGAGACATTGTTTTTACATCGAGAAGCTCTTGCGTCCAAAGCTTTACCTCCTGAAATGGACTGTGTTATGAAAACCATCATTAAAGTTGTAAATTCCATTAAAGGAAAAGCTTTGCAGACCCGTATTTTTAGAAAAATTTGCAAGAGAGTTGAAAGAGTATTTCACTTAAGAGCAGAGCTTTTAATGTATTTGAAAGATAAGAAGTCCCCATATGAAAATCAATTTTCCGATCCTATTTGTCTTCTGAAACTAGGTTTCCTTGCTGATATTTTCGAGCAATTAAATATTTTGAACAGTAATTTACAAGGTCGTGACGTTAATATAATTAGAGCCATAGATAAAATTAAGGCGTTTCTAAGAAAAATCGATTTACGGTCGACCTCACTTGGCAAAAAACAACTCGATTCATTCCAGTGCCCTTAGGAAATTATGGAAAATGTATCCAATTACAGTGCTACAAATTGTGAACAAGTTTTTGCTGACATGCATGTTACTTTGCTCAATTTAAAACAACAGCTCTGTGATTATTTCCCCGAAGAAATTCAAAACAGTTACGACAGTTGCAGATGGATACTAAATCCGTTTTTAGCCGATACCCTTCAGCATGTTGAAATACCAATAAACATGAAAAAAAAACTTATTGAAATATCAAGTGATGGAATGTTGAAGTTCCAAATTTTTTCCCAGAATTCGGACCAATTTTGGACCGAAAAGATGCAGGAATACCCCCAGTTGGCGAGTGAAGCTGTAAAATGTTTGGTTCCATTTGTAACATCATATTTGTGTCTCGTACTTGAAAATGATATAATCGTGTGTGTCTCAAATACACAGCCTGATTTGAAAGATTAGTTTCACAGAAACAGGCGCATAGCTCTCATTAAAATTATAATATTTGACTTTGCTCTTTTATTTTTAGGGACTTTAATATTTAGTTTTATATTTCGTCTGATAATTAATTGTTAATTTCTATTTACGGCGTTGTTAAAATAAAAATACATGATCTAACAAAGTGGTGCTTTTGTCTTATTTTGGAAATGTTCGGCGACCCCCCTAGTACTTCATGTCGACCCCCAGGGGGTCGCGACCACCACTTTGGGAAACACTGGTCTATAACATTGAATCATTTTGCTCTAGAATGTATAAGAAACGTTTTATAAACCAAAAAGTTTGTTTCTACTGTTTAGGATTATTTAAAAAAAAGCAAAATTAGTTATAAGTCTTCACGGAGTTTTCATCAGCTACTGCTCACATACCATTTAGCACCTTCCAATATCTGTTTTTTCAGCTTTTTTTTCTTCATTGGCTGCGGCAAAATGCATCGGTTTAAGTTGAAGATTGTAAAACAGAGGAATTTGCTTTTCTTTTTTTTTCCCGATTAAGCATTTGAACTATTATTTACATTGGAGTTTTTTTTATTATTGAGTGCCTTGACAACTAAGATCATTGGCGTGGTACAGTCAGGTACCTAGTGTAATGTGTGTGTGTGTGTAGAGTAATTGTCTTGATACTTAGCAAAGTCGACGTCATTGTCTTTGCTAAAAGACGCTAATTGTATCCGAACGTCTGCGGTCCCTCCGGTGAGTACCGATCGCACAAGGATAGAAATTATTTTCATTCATTAATTTTTAATAAACGAAAATTTGTCCACCCAGATGAGATTCCAACTCACGACCTTTCTCACGACCTTTCTCACGACCTTTAGGTTTAAAAGTAGGCGCTCTTACCACTGAGCCACAGAGGGGGTTACATTGGAGTTTGATTGAGTAAAAAAGTGAGTTTTTTTTATTTCTACCGCTAGCCGAGGTTTAATAAAATTTCTATTATTATTTGAGAGGGAAGATAATTATTTTTTATTGTTAGTTAAAATAGAGAACAAGTTGAGGCTGGTGAGTTTAGAAAGCGAGTTTTTACATAATAATCTTGCTTCCACGATAGTAGGTTATTTTTCAGTCATAATACCCGTAATTTTTTTGTTTTTCGTAAAAAGTTTTTTGATATGTTCGTCATTTTTACAATGTAGACAAAACATACTTTTGCCACAATCATGGTCTTTATTTTTATATAGGCGTATAGAAACTTTTCAGATGTGGGTTTTTTGAAGGATGCTGAAGATCTCTTGGACAGAGCACGTGACCAACAACGAGGTGCTAAGAAGAATGGGTACCGAGAGAAAACTCCTAAATATTGTAAAAAACAGAAAAACAAGTTATCTAGGGAAGGGAAAGTAGAAGGAAGACGAGGTTCAGGAAGAACAAAATGCTCCTGGTTGAAGAAAATAAGAGACTGGAAGGCATGGACATATATTCGATATCAAGAACAGCTTAAGATAGAGAGCAATTTGCTATAGTTATAGCCAACCTTCAGTAATGGAGAAGGCTTAAGAAGAAGATTTTTACATGATTAAATAACATCACCCGAAGGGAATATTTACAAGACTTCGAATTTTTCTTCATTTTAATTTATGATTTCGTAACTAACACTATTCCATAGTTGTTGTGAAATTTCCTTAACTTTGTCCATTGGTAAGTTTATAGACGATGTTTACTTTCTTAATTCTGGAAGAGATGCGATTCTTTTTTGTTTTTACTAGTTTTTCCCTTTTCTACTACTATATCGCTCAAACAAAAATATTCCGGTGAAACGGAAACACTGGATAACAGATGAAACTCTTAAAATAATTGAGAATAGAAGAAATCTTTGTAAAAGTGGTGTACATAGTGAAAGGGAAAAAGCTAGTTTAAGAAACCTCAATAAAGAAATATAGCGAAGATGTAAGGCCGACAAAAAACAGTACTATCAAAGTATATGCAAAGAAATTGAGAGACAAGGTCAGAATAATCAGCCGAGATATCTATTTAGAAGACACAGAGAAGACATACAGAGAAGACATAGCAGAGACATGGAGATCGTATTGCAGGGACCTATATAAAGATGATCAACACCAAGAGCTTGTTAGCCAAATCTCTGACGAGGTGGAAGAAGAACCTGATATACTCGAAAATGAAGTAAGACAGGCTATCAACAAGCTCAAATATAACAAAGCACCAGGTCCAGATATGATAACAGCAGAAATGCTTAAAGCCACAGAAGAAACCGGCGTAAAGTTACTTCATCTACTCTGTAACCAGATATGGCATTCCAAACAATGGCCTGAAGAGTGGACAAAATCTACAATAACGACCATACATAAAAAAGGCAGCTTCCATAAATTCCACAAGAGCAAACTGGATTTACCAAAGGTAGAGGTACTCGAGAACACCTGCTGAATATAAGACAGATAATCGAGAAATCTAGGGAATTCAACATCCCACTATACATCTGTTTTATAGATTACCGTAAAGCGTTCGACAGGGTCAAGTGGAGACACTTATGGCGAATACTAAAAGAAGTAGGCGTACCACAACATCTAATTACGCTTATAACCGAACTATATGAACACACTACTGGATCAGTTAAAGTACTTGACACACTTTCGAACGAATTTCATCCAGAACGGGGTGTCAGGCAAGGATGTATACTATCTCCACAATTATTCAACATATATGGGGAGTATATTATGCGAAGAGCACTTGAAGGATGGGAAAAGGGCATCTCAATAAATGGTCATAAACTAAACAACCTACGTTTCGCAGATGACACAGCCCTTCTTGCAAATAGTCAACCAGAGCTGATAGAACTTATACGACTGATCGAAAACGAAAGTCAAATATTTGGTCTGCAATTAAACATAATAAAGACAAAGATCATGATAGTGGATAGACTACACAACAATCATCCACACATAACCACAATTGACCGGTTCGAGGTTGTGAGCTCATACTTATATCTGGGATCATTAATCACAAACACAGGGTCATTACAAGAAAAGATTAAACGTAGATCTGATCTAGCAAAAGTTGCCACAGCAAAAATGACCAAAATATGGAAGGACTGTCAAATTTCAAGAGCGATAAAGATGAGGTTGATCAACTGCTTAATATTCCCAATACTGACCTACGGATGTGAATCTTGGACTCTGAGACAATCGGAGAGAAGAAAGATATACGCCACTGAAATGTTCTGTTGGAGACGAATGTTACGAATTCCTTGGACCGACCGCAGAACAAATAATTCAATTTTAATAGAGCTAAAAGTTAGCCAACGACTCTCTAGTAAAGTCCATCTCCAACAATTAAAATATTTTGGGCATGTTATGAGAGCAAACACAGAAAACATGGAAAGACTCATAATACAAGGAAAGGTAGAAGGCCGAAGATCACGAGGAAGATCCCCAACAAGATGGATAGATCAAATTACAGGAATATGCCAAATACCTATGCATGAATTAAAAGAAATGACCAGAGACAGAGATCTCTGGAGACGGACAATACACGACATCACGTCGACCACTACACTCCCCCTGGGGGGCAGGATTGAAGAGAGAGACTACTATATATTGACGTAAGCACCGTTTTTATTGTTTGATTGTAATGAAAGAACCGATGTTCATCCTGGAATATAGTATGAAAATGAGCGTCCTTTATAAACGATTTTACCTAATACGGGTGTACATATTGGTTCTCTTTGTATTTTGGGATCCAGAAGTCACTCGAGTAGACCCAAAGATGAAGGTGCTCGATGAAAAAGCTATCCGCTAATATATCCAGTTTGCTACTTGTAATGAAGATCTTATCGTTGATAAGTCATTTGTTTGCGTTCGAAAAGATATAGTCAGTGTTTGTGATTCTTGAGATAAAAAGTTTAGAAATAGGTTGCAGTATTATGTACTATCTCCCGACCTGTTTCTACCATATTTTTTTCCTAATTTATAGAAAGAATTTTAAGTGAAGACATGGGTTTGTACATTAAACCTAAATTTAGAGAATTGCTCTTTCAACGGTCAAATGTTTTTAAAAAATTATACAGAGAGAACAAGGTAATAAAATATTTATCATATCATTAGAGTGATGTAATAGAAGGAAATTTAAGCAGAAAACTTCATAATACAAACTTATAAATCATATTCATTATACATAATAATATTTTTCATACCTGCTATCAGGATCCAGATCATAGGCTCTCTGGAACATCGATGCAAACGAATCTAACCTAAGAAATAATCTCCAACTATCTCCAAACAACCACATCGGCTTTAGCTGAAGAACTCCTCTATCTCTCCAATAGTTCATGGGTTTTATGGCATACCAATAAAACAGCACTATTACAAGTACTAAGAGAATTAATTGAAGCATCTTGTGATCTCATGTACTTAATAGAACAAACTTAAAATAATCACCGCGAAAAATATATTGAATGAATCGTCGCGAAACTGTTGTTTTTGTGAAAAATTGTTACATGAATAAAAACAAACGCTATCACTTATAGTATAGAATGAGATAATTGACGATCATCAAGGTCAGCACGGTATTTTATACTACCTACTCAGTTATATCTGTTAATGATAATTACAAGTTTAATTTAAACCAAGCAGATTGAAACATCACAAATTTGTAAATCTCGCCTGAAAATAATATAAAAAACTGGGTCTAACTAGAAATTAAAAAATGTATTTAAATTTTAATAAGTTAATAATCTGATACATATTTCAGATACGAAAATCTATTTTGAGTCTGCACTTGAAATGCCTGAACCAAGTTCACAATTGATAAACTTAATTGAAATTAATGAGAATTAATGAAATACGATGGCAGAAGTCAGGAATTTGTATAAAAATGCAGTGTTCTAACAATAATCTTAAATTAAGAAAAGTTCTTCTTTGCTTATTTGCGCATTAATATTTCCTAGTACAATCTTGATATCATTTCTCGGCGTAAGCTGTCGTATCTTTCCTGTAGCTGTTCGGAGCACTCTTCTTTTCTTTCTAAGTCTTCTCCTTCTTTCAATGCCTCTCCTATCGGAGATTGGATATCATTAGGGCGATTCTAATTTTATTTACTGCTGTTTTGAATAATTCGTTAGTAGTACAGCCAAACCACTTTCTTAAATTTCTCATCCAGGACATTCTTTACAGCCTGGATTTCTGCGTCCTTAGTTTTACCTTGCAGTATATTTTGTAGGAGTGTGTACTTTTGTCCTTTCATCAGGTGGCCTAAGTATTCAAGCTTCTTCTTTTTTATATTCAGTAAAACTTCTGGATCGTTATTTATTTTGCGTATTACCTCTTGATTTGTAATTCTATCCACCCAACTTATTTTAATTATACGGCGGTAGCACCACTCCTCAAAATTTTCAAGATTTTTAATATTGTTCTGTTTAAGAGTCCATGCCTCAACGCCGTAAAGCAAAGTACTGAATACATAGCACTTTAACATTCTGGTTCGTAGATGAATACTAATATCACGATTACAAAATAATTTTTTCATTTGTATAAAGGTAGACCTGGCAATTTCAATATGTCTTTTTATCTTGTGATTTTGGTCACCTGTTTCATTGATGAGGGTTCCCAAGTATTTGTATTCGCTTACTTTTTTAAGTTTGTATTCTTACTGAAGGTCATATATTTGGTTTTTTTGACGTTCATCCTTATGCTGTAGTTATTACATATCTCATTAATATTTTCAACTAGATGTTGTAGATCTTCCACTGTTCTTGCCATTATCACAGTATCCTCAGCATATCGAATGTTATTGATTACTTCTCCATTGACTATTATCCCTTTGTTTGCACGTGAGAGAGATTCTTGGCATATTTGTTTGCTGTAGATATTAAACAAGAGCGGTGACAATATACAACCCTGCCGTACTCTTTTACGTATTTCTATTTCGTCCGATGTTTGGCCTTCTATTTTTATATTAGCTCGCTGATTCCAGTACAGATTTAATATTATTTGTATATCTTTGGTGTCGATGTTCTTACCTTCCAGGATTTCTTTGAGTTTATTGTGACGTTCCTCTTGGTTAACATCTAGACATCTTTATGTTAGGACGTTTAAGGCAAAGAGAGCTTCTCTTGTACCTAATCCTTTTCTGAATCCCATCGGTGTATCGTTAATATCGATATCTAACTTTTGATAGATTCGGTTGTGGATGACTCTAAGAAATATTTTAAGCAGGTGACTCATCAAGGAGATTGTTCGATGATCTGAACATTGCATTACCTCAGTTTTCTTCGGTATGGTGACAAACGTAGACAGACCATTCTTAAGGTAATTTTTTTCTCTTGGGAGGTGTATGTTGAATATAAATATCATTTGTGACAAACTTAGACAGCAATCATTCTTCTAAATAATGTTCTTCTATTGGGAAGTGTATGTTGAATATGAATATCGTTAATCATGTTTTGTTTAATAAAATTTATTTTCCAATATCAGAAATGATTCAGTTTGAACTTACAATATATTTTTATTTACATTCAAAGCAAGCAATAGTTACATTTCTTTTTTGCTAAGTTTTCTTGACATATTCTTTATTGCTTTTAATACTGGTTTTACCTTCTAGTTTTATTTTTGGAGCACTTACAAGTTTCTTGGACGATTTCGGTTTCCTCAATTTCATTCAACTGTAGCTGTTTAGCTAATTCTTTTCTAATTTCATTTTTATAGAGATTTTCCATCAAAACCATTGTCTTTTATGCTGCTAAACCCTTCTTGGGTTTTGGATGAAGCTTCGGTATCAGGGAAATTAAATCAATTGAAATGTTAAGTTTTGGACTTTCTTCACGAGTTTTTTTAGTAGGCCTAGTAGGTGTAGCGGTCGTAGCAAGTAGTTCATGCAAGATTATTTCTTACTCTACATTAGCTCCTGTTATAGATCTAAGTAGTTTCTTGTTTGTCTCATTAGACTCTTCATTTTCACCATCTTCTCGAGTTTCACTGCCTTTATGGTCATTTATATTTTCAGCCGCACAAAAGTCATGATCTTTGAAGATCATGCGATTAAACAGGCCAGTTCGGAAGCCATTGACTGCAATTTCAATGCTTGCTGCTCTCCCTTAATCTTCAGAAATCAAGCCAGCTACGTGAAGTTGTGAAACACATGATCCAGGGTTAGAACGAAGCCACTTTTCAACTAATTGAGTGTAGTAAGCACTGTATGTAGTAAGAGTGTAGTTCTTTAAGCCTTTGAAAGGCTTAAAGAATTATCTACCCAAAGGTTACACGCGATAAGTCGCATGCTCATTCAATATTCTTGGAGTGCTTTGGTACCCATCCAGTACCAGAAGAACTTTTTTTCTACTGTTGCGTTTACCGAATCAATAAAATGCTGGAGCCATTTTACAAAGCGATCACTAGTTATGTAGCCTGATTCTGATATCTCAACCATACTCCCTGATTTAGCACCAACCCTCAAATCATTGTTCATTCGCATACGCTAAAATGTAAGCATGAGCGGGACGTAAATTCTTGAAACACTCATACAGCAAACAACTGTCGTGTTGAGACTAAACGTTCTCCATTGGACAATGACCCATCTTGCCTCTCAGTGAGATTATGTGGCCTTATGACGAGCTTTAAAAGCATCAAACCACTTCTTTCCTCCCATTTGGGATTTTTTATTAAAATTGGGCAATGTGGTAATTGATTTCAACGTCGATTTGGCAACGTCTTCAGCTTTAAAATGTGATCGACTAGCTGCTTCTCCAATGCTGTTGGTAATACACTGCTTCAGCCAAAAGCCTTTGATTCTTCATTTTCCTTGACATTGGTCCTCTTAAGGTGACCGAGAAAGGAAGGCTTAGATAGTGGCGCACCTAGAATTTTCCTGTGGGGCAGGTTTAGTTTGATACCGAAATTTTTTTTTATGCTACCTTCATTTTTTGTCCTTAAAATTTGTGAGTAATAGTGTGGGAATAATGTCCTGAGGGGAGGGTTTATCCACCAAAACCCCCCTGGATGCCCCACTAGGCTTAGGGACTCCATACAGGTATGAAGAGCCTGTCTCATATCGTCCACATTTCAAGTCCCATATTTTCCTTTGGGTATCCAAAACAGACAAGAACGGTGTGTGTTATTTATTTATTTATTTATTTATATTTGAAAATAAGTAGGTCTTACATACCCAATGATATCTAAAATTATACCGGTACAATATAAGCAACTCGGCGTGGTACAATATGGGAAATTTGCGCTTTAGGTAAATAAACTACGATTCCTAACCTAAACATGGTCCGGCAAAGGGAAACAACTCAGTTTTATACACCTAAATACACGATTTTCGTATATTTATGAATCAAAATGGTTTCCACATTTATAGGTGCTGAAATTGCTACAGATTATGGAACTAGAAAACAATACTGAAACACTATGAGATACAAAAAATTCGATAAAACAAAATTGACAAATGTGAACATTGTAAGACTTCAGTACTCAACCACAACAAGGTAGAAACTAGTTCCATTAAACGACATAAGAGCGTTCTGGCTTCCTGATAAAGGATAAATATAGCGGTGGTACAATATTGGCACCAGTAAAACGGCTACTTTTCCCTATAGTATTGTTATTAATTATTAAAAAGCTAAAAATGAAAATAAATAAAATTTAAAAAAAGTTTTTTTATTTTATTTAAAAAAATATATATATAACATCAAAATTCATACAAGAACATTCTCACATTATCTTCTGTATTGGCTTCAATCCTAAAGGCATACCGTCAGAAGGTTGAAGATTAAAGCTGCCCTTTTTCAACTGCACGGGAATTTTAGTTTTCCCAACGGGGACAATTTCAAAATGATGCAGCAAACGAGCGAACAAAACCTTCATCTCAAGTGTAGCGAATCTCGAGCCAATACAAATTCTGGGACCTAGCCCAAACGGAAAGTAAGTGTAAGGATCTATTCTGTCCTTGTTCTCGTCGCTGAATCTCTCAGGATCGAAGCGTTCTGGATCTGGGAAGTATTTGGGGTCTTTGTGCAAACACATCACCGGCAATGATAGGAAAGTCCCACTTTTGATCGTCAGTGGTTCCTCATCTGGACTTTCCGGTTCGATGACAAAATCTTTGCTGCACTCTCTGTCAGTCTCCGGAAAATTAGGCCATTTTCTTAAACACTCTAGAAAATTCAAAAGAAATATATATATATATATATATATATATATATATATATATATATATATGTATATATATATATATATATATATAAATATATATATATATATATATATATATATATATATATATATATATATATATATATATCTGCAAAGAATAATAAAGAAGAAAGAAACATAAGAAATATAGAAAATTTAAGAATGATCAAACAATTAAGAAATCTTTATATATATATATATATATATATATATATATGAAACTTAGGTTTCATTGTACTAACCGCGGAAATCTTTCCGAACATATATATATATATATATATATATATATATATATATATATATATATATATATATTATATATCAATTCTTAATTTACCTAAAATAACCATGTCGAAATATTTCATCTTCATCAGCACATCATATGTCAAATTTCCATTGCTTTCCTTAAATCCTTGATTGATTTCATCTCTTAGTCTCTTTTGAACATCTGGGTTCGTTGCTAACTCGTAAGCGATGAAACACATCGTGTTGGAAACTGAGTCGAAGCCACCAAAGAAGAAAGTAAGAGCATGGGAAGTTATGTCTCCATTGGTGATGGTTACATTACTTCCTTAAAAAGAGAATTGCCAATAGAATAAATGAAAGTAATTTAAATTATGACCATTATTAGAAAAGTGAAGTAAAAAAGGAATGGAAAATGTAAAAATTATAAAACATTTTATTAAAGTGGATACGCTGTCATAAAATGGTATCTTCGTGATTTCATTTTTGGTGTTGTTACCTTTTTTAGCCTGGAGTAGAAGATTTAACATATCTGGTCGTTTGATGTTCCGTTCTTCTCTTTCTTTAATGGTAGTTTCTATAATATCAGTAAAAAATATTCGTGCAGGACCATAAAAAAAGTTGACGTTTAATAGCTAAAACAAAAAAAAATAATATACATTTTGGAAGGAAATTTTTATTCATTTAATCTCAAGGTATTTACTTGACCTTAATGCTAAAACTGTTTTTTCGTAGAAAATATAAATGTAGCCGCTTTATAAATCATATATATATATATATATATATATATATATATATATATGAAAATCACTAGGTTCTCGGGAAGAGCCGCGTTGAGAATTTAATGCTCGACGTTTCGGCTCCCGTTTTGGAGCCATTATCAAGAGGGATACGGTTCGGTTCGAGTTCGGGGTCTCAATCTGCCTACTCCCCTCACTCGACACGTACCAGTATCGTGTTCTGTATTATAAATACAAAAATTGTCTCTCGGCAGTGAGGTCTCAATCTGCCTACTCCTCAGTGTCGAGTGACGTCACTGTTGACGCGCTTTGCGACCTTGAAGCGCTTCTTGTGATTGGTCCTGTGCGCAGAGTGGGCGGGGTCTTCTTCGCTATTTTAATTTCTACGTTTTTCTGCAGAATTGGTTTCCACGTATTTGGGAGTCTTTGGGCATCGTCTCTGGTATTTAAATTTTTTTGATGTTTTTCGATCTCTATGGCTTCCCTGATTACACGTTTGGCTTTATTTTCGATATTGGCTTGCATTGTTGTTCCATTTAAGTCGATTTTGTGTCCTGTGTTGATGGCATGTTGTGCTAGAGATGAAGTTTTCTGTTTTCTTTCGGTATTTAAGCTTAGGTATTTAAACTTAGCGAGCAGCGACCGAGAAATCAGTTCTCCTGAAACATCAAGACGAAGCAGAACTAATCTGACTTGACAATGGCAAGTGTAACCTTGCCGAAACGTCGTCAAAAAAATGGTTTTTCTAAAAACCAAAATTACTTAACGCGGAGTCAAACCCGGAAAACAACTGAAATCACATATAGCTCCCGCGGAAACTTCAAATCCAATATATATATTTTAAACTGTTGCGTTAGCCTTTTTGTTTTCTGTACACCGAGCTGGGGATCGAACTCACATCCGCTGAACCACTAGCAGAGAAGCTAGTGAGAACCCGGCCGCCCGTTCGGCTATCTGACCGGCATCTACCTATACACCATTCATAAATAAAAAAAACGATCCTCGCCTTTCTACTGGTATCAGAAATGTGACATCTACTCTAACTGCGATTTTTAAACCCTGCAATGTCATTTTTATGAGGCTGATACATTTGTTAGGTATAGGTAGATTACGAATATTTCCCAACTTTTGTTTTTTTTTAATACTATCTAAAGTTTGTTTAATGTCCATCTTCTTCTTCATGTGCCATATCAGAATTTATTATTTGACATTGCGTTGGCGATTACCATTGAGAAAGCTTCCTAATTTTGTATTTGATATGAGTCCATTCACGAATGTTTTTTAACCAAGAAAGCTCTTTTCTTCCTACACCTCTCTACGGCCTTCTATTTTGCCTCTAAGGGCCAGTTGTAGTATTCTTTATCGATTTTCCTTTACTATATGTCTCAGGTAAGACATTTTCCAATGCTTAGTATTCTTAAGTAATCTCTGTTGACCCTCCTTAGTACTTCCTCATTAGTTTTTCTTGCTGTCCTAGGTATCTTTAGCATCCGTCTATTAATCCACATGTCCAATGCTTCAATTCTGCTCATGCTTGATACTTTTAGTGTCTACATTTCTGTTTCATATAAAAGTATAAACGTAATATAGCACTTAACCATTCTTTACCTACCTACCTACCTACCGTTAATAATTTTGGCACTAACAGAAACCCAACAAACTTCAAATTCATCCATAACGTGCTAACATTGGTAAGATCGCCGGCCATCGAGTAAAACTCGTTATTGGGTTTGTTTAAAGAATCTGTACTGACTCCGAACGCTGTGGAAGCAATTATATCATTGGCAAATCTGGAAGTTACGTCTTTTGTTTTAATTTCAATGATTTCTTTATTTAGTTTTGAGAAATGCTGCACAAGGTTGTTCGAGCATTCAGTCATAAGGTCGAACATCATCTTCATCTTGCTGCTAGTGAAAGAAGGACTAAGTACTGATCTAATTTCTTTCCATCGTTCATCTACAAATAGAAACATGTTAAAGATACAAGAATTCAATCAATTGCTGTTTATATATCGCTCATACCTTTAAGTGACAGCAGATTATTTGACCAGAGTGGATCAGCTCCTTCAGGTATAAAGGGTCTATGATTGGCAAAATGGTCAAATTCTTTCACAGTGATTTGTTTTAGAAGCTGTGGATCTCTTATCATTAAAATTGGGTTTGTAAGTTCATACATTCCTATATACCTAGTAGAAATAACAATATATTTAATAAATAAATAAAAAACTTACAATAAAGATAAAACTTCTTGTGTAAAATGGTCCATAATTTGACAAAGTAAATCTTAAATTCTAACAACATCTAAAAACAAAGAGGTGTCAGATAGGGTTGTATATTATCCCCACTGTTATTTAATTTATATTCAGATATAATATTAAAAGAAGCGATGCATAATTTGGAATGGGGCGTAAAAGTTAATGGAATTCTGATAAATACAATCAGATATGCAGACGATACATTTATTTTAAGTGATGACATGAATGGACTACGATGCCTTTTAAATGCCATTGATACAGTGGGAAGAGAGTTTGGCCTAAACATAAACTGTTCAAAAACAAAACACATGGTGTTTAGCCGTTTAGCACATCAAGATGCACGGTTATATGTTGATGGTCATATAATTCAAAGAGTGTCCAGTTTTAAATATCTTGGTTGACATATTACTGAACAACTAAATCCAGATCAAGAGATAAAATGTAGAATCGAGATAGCCCGCACAACATTTTTAAAAATGAGGTCATTCTTCTGTAATGATAACTTGCAACTTCAACTTCGAAAGCGCATGGTTAAATGCTACATTTGGTCAGTCCTCTTATACGGTGTCGAAGCATGGGCAATAAAAATTATCCACTATTAATCGTCTGGAGGCCTTTGAAATGTGGCTGCACAGACGTATACTAAAAATTCCATGGACGGCTATGCTGACAAATGTGGCAGTCCTTGAGAGAGCAAATGCTGCTCGCGAGCTGCTTGCTAATAATATTCTTCAACTTATTATGATGGTAAAATCGAAGGACGCAGAGGAATTGGTGAAAAGCAGGCCTCTTGGTTGAAGAATATCAGAGAGTGGACAGGAATAAAGAAAGCTGAGCAACTCTTTAGAATAGCTCGAGACAGAGACAGTTTCGCCATGTTAATCGCCAACGTCAAGGGGACTTGATAGGGCACGTTAATAAAGAAGAAATCTTAACTTCTACAGCAATTAGCTTTTATTTCAAACTCAATAATTTCACCTACTGACAGGTCATTGCCTTTTCATAATTGTATTATTTCGGAAAAGATCAAACACATTTTGTTGAGCACTTCTGAGAAACATTCATATCTGTTTCATAGTTAGTAATACTCTCATTAAAAGGTTAACTAATAGCAAAGATTCAATTCACTATATGAACCGTAGTGGTGTGTACAGATTGCGTTGCTCTGATTTTGATGCCCCCTATATTGAAAGAACATACAGAGAATTATCCAGCAGATCGGCAGAACACTCTAAACGAGACAGTACTTCTGCCTTTTTTCATTATCTTAAAGACCATAAATATTATTTAAACATTAATTTTATAAATTTCCTATATTATTGAATCAACACACACTATTCCAATACAAATACAACAATTTTCCCCCTATTTTTTTTAACCATTCCATACAGAAACTGCCTCAACTTTTCCCATATACTGAATTTTATTTTCAGATAATTTACAGGATACTACATATTTTTCCACAACAATCAGACACTCTTTAGTTCTATTTGAACCTTAATGACGTGATGTCCATATAATATAAACTTGTACTTTACATAGATATGTACATTTACCAATAGTCAACTACCAGCAACTCCTGTTCCTGGGAAAAGAGGTCCAGGACGGAGAATATCCTGGCTGCATAACCTGCAAAATTGGTTTAACTTAACCACTACCGGACTTTTCAGAGCAGCAGTCAACAAAGTCAGAATAGCCATGTTAGTGTCCAACATGCGTAACAGATAGGCACCATAAGAAGAAGAACTACCAACACCTTACTAATTTCTATTAAAATCTTTTTGGCCAATTCTATATACCTTTCCTATTTATTATCCAAACAAATTATTTATTATTGTAATTTCATTTAATAAATTTACACAATGAGTAGACAAAAATTTCTAATTCTTTCTGGGTCTTACTCCATTGAGTTAGATTCGTCTAGTTCGTGTTTTCATAATACCATGAAAGCTTACTAAAATCACAAAGAATGGACAACGTTTCTGAATACTCTATACTCTATAACATCTAAAGGAATTTGAATAAATATAATAAATATTGTTTTATCTTGAACATTTTGTCTGGAAAATTAATTTTTAAAAGCGAAATAAAGAAGTTACTTATAAAAATAAAGATAGAGATAAAATTTCTTTTAAAAAATAATATATAGATAACATAATCATTTAAGTACAATATCTAAAATTGTTTTTGTTCTATTCAATCGATATATCTTCAATCTCCACAATCTACATACCTTGCATTTGGAGCTAGTTGATAGACTCGTTGCAACATCTCGTAGGCACTCTCCAATTTAAAAATTAATCTAAATTGGCTTCCAAAAAGCCAACAACCATCCTCTGATATAACTCCTCTTCTTCTCCAATAACTCATTGGTTTTATAGCAAAGTAGTAAAAGAGAGCTATACTAGCTGCTAATAACAAGTAAGTCAGCATGATGTAGAACTAAAATAATTATTTTATATTAAACCGATGTAAAATAACATATTTCCATGTCGCAAATCAAAAAACCATCTCTATTACTACCTTTTATATCTTTCTCGAACCTCATCATCATCCAGCTTTTTGCGTGAAAAGTTGAACATAGGCTTCTCCTATTTTCTTCAAGCTAGGTCGGTCTTGAGCTTCCTGCAGCCAATTCCAAACGATTCTTATGACGTCATCTGCCCACCATGTAGGTGGCCTACTCTCCTTGTTTTATCTACTCTTGGTCTCCACACTGTATTTCTTTGAGTCCGTCATTCATTCTGGCTACATAGCCAGCCCAGTTCAATTTCAGCAAATATATGCGCTCTATAACATTTGTGACACTTGTGCTCATTTTTTCCTTGTTTTTTAACCCTTTCTCTGAGAGTTAGTCCAAGTTTCATTTTTCTTGGAGCAACTCTTACTTTGTTGGCTGTGGCCTGGATTCCTAAACCTCATGTTATATTATTTAAATTTACTTGACATCCAATATTCTTCTCATTTCCCTGAGAATATTTGATTTATTAATGTTTGCAATGAATATAAATTGTTTTTTACTGATAGAGCAAGGCTGATAATAACATTCAGGAACAGAATGTGTATCAACAGAATTTTGAGACCAATGCAAAAGACAAGAAAATATGATCTAAAAATGGACAGATGTATGGTTGTAAATGGATGACGATTCATTCTTCAGCTTGGTATCTAACCATACCTCGCATCTTTTGATTAATAGACTGGGACAAAAGCTAGCTTTTAACTAACCTCTAGAGCAAGCCAGATTTAGGAGAGAAGACTGACCACCTACAAGTAATAAAATCCTTGATAAATAAAGTTATAAAATACAACGAGTCATTGATAATAATATTTGTAGACTTTGAGAGAACATTTGATTCAGTCTAGCATAACTCTGTGTAAAGATCTCTTACAGAGTATAGTATATGTTTTCAAAGATTTCCGCGCTTAGTACAATTAAACCTAAAGCTAAGATTAATAGTATTACAAAAAATAATATTAAACTAAACAGGCTTTTAGGTTGAACCGCTTCGATTATTACTGCGCCAAGCTTTCGACATCCTCTCTGATGTATTCTTTAATGCTTCCAAGTCTTAGTCTCCCGAGCCCCCATATTCTACTGCATTGATCACTAATCAGTGTACCTACTACTGCTTCTGGGAACAGTTGACAGTTTATTTATACCATCGATGGAGGCGTGGTTTGGGTGGAGGTTAGCGTGAGAATTGGCGCGAATATTTCTGACTGGATTCCGGCTGGATTTTATTGGAGGGTTGAGCGGACAATATTTTCTTTATGAGAGGTGTACATGTCTCCGGGAGACGATGAAATTCTAATTGAAATGTTAAAAGAAGAAAGGGAAAAGATAAAAGACGACCTAAAGATACTTTTCAATAAATGTTTGTTTAAAGGGCAAATACCGCAAGAGTGGAACAAGGCAAATACAATTCTGATATATAAGAAAGGAAATAGATCAAAATTAGCTAACTATAGACCAATATCTGTCTTGTCACAAATCTATAAAACTTTCACTAAGGGGATCACAACTAGACTAAACAACAAATTTGATGCATACCAACCAGTTAAGCAGGCAGGATTTAGAAAGGGGTACAGCACAACTGATCACCTTCACACTCTTAAAATATTGATAGAAAAGACCAACGAATACAACCTTCCAATATACCTAGCGTTTGTTGACTATGAAAAAGCGTTTGACAGCATAGAACTATGGGCAGTGGAAGAAGCGCTAGTTAATTGCCGAATAGATTCACGGTACAGAATGTTAATCCATAATATATATTAAAACGCCACTATGACAGATATTTGCAAACTCCATTAATTAGAATTTGCAGAGGTGTCAGACAAGGGGATACAATCTCATCCAAACTATTTACTCTGGCGTTGGAAGACATTTTTAAATCTATAAACTGGGACAATAAAGAGATTTGTATAAACGGGTAATATTTAAATCATCTAAGATTCGCCGATGATGTACTCCTGATAGCAACAACTATAGAACAACTACGAATAATGATTTCAGACCTAGAAAAAACATCTCTTGAGAAATGACTAAAAATGAATCTAAAGAAAACTAAAATAAGGATTAATACAGAAGACAGATCAGTCATTACCATAGGTGGAACAAACATAGAACACGTCCAAGAATATATTTACTTATGACAAGCCATCAGAGCAGACAAAAGTAACCAGACTAAAGAAATAACCAGAAGAAGAAGAATGGGGTGGGGTGCATTCGGAAAACTCGCATATGCTATCAAAAACCAAAAAATACCTTTAAAATTAAGAACGAAGGTATTTAATGCATGCGTCCTACCTGTTCTGATATATGGTGCCCAGGCGTGGACGTGTACCAAGGGTAACTTAGATGGAATAAATAAAACTCAAAGAGCTATGGAAAGACAAATGTTGGGAACATCGTTGAGAGATAAAAAGAGGAACGCGTGGATAAGATGCAAAACCGAAACAACAGACGCTGTCGAATATGCATTGAAATTAAAATGGAAATGGGCTGGGCATAATGAAAGATATCAGGATGGAAGATGGAATAAAAAAATTGGCCGCTGGAGACCATTTACTGCAAAAAGGTCAAGAGGTCGACCGCAAATGAGATGGAAAGATGACATTGAGCAAAGCGCAGGTCCAATGTGGAAAAAATAAACAGAAGACAGAGACAAAACTGGAATACTATGGCGACATAAACATGCTTGCCTTGAAGAAGGGTATTAGGCTAGGCTATACCATCTGTCCAACGTTATTCGCCACTTTATTACGAAGTGCTATGCGAAAAAGTTATTGGGAAAATATTGCTTGATTCAAAACTAGAAACTAAGCTGATAATCTATGTAAAAAAATGAAGAATCATAGAACAGGAATATAAGATATAATAGAAAGCGTATTAAAGATAAAATAATGAGGATTTCTTGATTCCTGTCCCTAACACGACGCCAAGTATTGTTATGTCAAGCCCTTGCTACGCCCTTGATGTAAAATACTGCGCGTTCGGTCAACGATAAGAGCTACGGGTATTCTAACGCCAACAATAGAACCTCACTGGGTTCTAAAAGCGTTTCGAAGAGTAAGGGAAAATGTATATAAAGACGATTAGAGATAAAGGAGGCTGTCTAATACATACATTTGTACAATGTAATAAATAAACTAAAATATGAATTGATAAATGTTATAAATTAAATAAACTAAAATAAACATTACAGTATGATGGTGTACTCTACTTAAAAATCTACTTACTGAAAGATAACCGCATCCAAACAAAATTTATCTATGAAACTTATCCTAGCAATATTTGACGATTCACATAAAATATAAAGTTTGCGATATCAGACTATCAGACCGTGCTAAGGTGATCTTGTAGTGACTACTAATTAAATAATCATAAACATTCAATATAAACAGCAGAATCTACTCAACTTAATAGCCAGTGAATGCTAATATTAGGATTGTCCTTGATATGAGAGTGCATAGTTTTATTATCAAGAGATACAGATAATATTATAGATATATGAATAAAAACAAATTTGTTTAATTAATATTAGATTTTTTTTTATTTTTTTTTTATTTTAGATTTGTTACTAACATAACCTCTGAGGTTATTTTTATAGCTGCTGGAGATAACTTACTATTTATTTAAATTAAATTATTTAAATTAAATGTTCAATTTTACAATATTCTTCTAAGATTTCACTGTTGATCCAATGAGTTGGTCTTGTTGGTCTCACAGTTGGTCTCTTTCTGCAACTGCTATCTTGAACACTCTGCAAGGATATGTCAAACTCTGAGTGGAATATTACAGTTGTCTCATAGAGTGGAAAAAGTGTGACCAACTATATGCCGTGTCGTGTATGTGGTATCTCCTAGACAAAGTTGAGTAGCACAGACTTGATGAGCTTTGTTGAACATTTGATATTTCCGCGGTTTTACAGATGCTTTCACTTCGCGAAGTTTTCAAGTTGAATGGTTCCAATGGTTTTGTCACAAATTTTCTACCCTCAATTTAAAAAATGTTTTAAAATTATTTAGCATTCTACATTTCCCACCTCACTTGCAGTTTCAATCTTTTTTTTTGGTTTTTGGGCTATACGATCCGTTTCTTCATTTCCTTGTAGGTCAATGTGTAAAGAAACCCATAGACATTATACAGTATGGTTGCTCTTTGTTTTTGTGTAAAGTTTATTAATGGTATTGATGAAATTAAGGGAATCGGTAATTATACGGAAGTTAAAGGATTAATTGTTTGTGTTATTTTTCTGCCGTATATGCGTATTTTTTTCTTCTTGGCTATAATTAAGGTTTTTTATTTATCTGTCAGTGTTTCTAACAATATTAGCTATTAATTACTATTTAACTGCGAATAAGTCACAATTAAAGATAAAAATACGTTTATTGACGTTTCAATTTCCACTTCGGAAATCGTTCTCAAAATACAAACAGTAAATTAAACAAATTTTGTTTTTTGTTACATAGTGAAAAATTCTTCTAATAATTTAATTTTATCTGACTCATTTATATTGACAATTCAGACATACATTATGCATTTTAAAGTAGACGACTTTAAAATGATATTGCCAATATTGTTGAGTTGCGCTCCTGGGACGACTTTACTTATAAGATAGTTCATTCGATTACGTGAAATTAACTTTAACTTGAGAACATCCGTCAGAAAAAAATCATAGCATGTAATTCGTCTTTAAAAAGACAAACACATGACATGATGACAGTAAAATTGTCCTGTTAGTGATTCCATAGTAAATTATGAGGGAAAAACCAGGAAAAAAACCTCATAATACTATCCCGACATTGTAAGTATTTGTTCGTGAATTTAGTTTACCTTCAACAAACATCAAATTTCTGATTTTATATGTTACGTTATTTAAAAAACATAAATTATGTATCCTCTATATGTTACTGACTTACTAATACTGGTATTTTCTTATTAATAACTTCCTTTTTTAATGTTGGTAACCAGATCCTACTATATTCTGCCGAGGAATTTGCGACACAATTGACCTCATTTACCATAATTAGAGCCGCTTCCTTGATTTTTCTTTTTTTACCATCCGTTTCTTTTAGGACTACATTTGAATTATTCCATTGAACCCTATGTTCATTATCCCATGCGTGTTTACAGATTTGAGATCTATCAAATTCCATATTTTTAATTAATATCAATTTTATATTAATCGTATCTAATGAATACGCCCTTTAGTCCTACTGGAATTCATGTTCAGTTGTTGAGGTACCACGCGCTATCACGAATTTTCGAAACACCAGGTACCGGCACTTATACGGTACTATCCCCGTCGAATTACAATAGCGCGCTCACTGGACTGCGTAATGCCGATCGACCAAGCTTCTGACGTGGAGCCCTCTCGGCTGTTCCGCTCTTACTCCTCGAGCGCTTACTGGACGCTACCGCCTCTGAACACTCACGGCAACTACTGGCGATTGAGGGATTGAGCACTTTCTGGCTCCGGTCGCCCGAATACTACCGGTGCCTAGCGCTTGCTAGGCCGCGAACATTCCTAGTTTTTTTGCTGATTCTGCTGTCTGTTCCATGTGTTAGAATGGATCATGCGATGGTGTGGCGCTTCGTTGTATTATTTTCCACAAAGGTCTTCACATTTCGTAACTCTTAAACATTCGGGCTTGTGTCAAACTAGGTCAAATTATTATTCTTTGTGTAATTTGAAATATATACGTTAAACTGTATCGAATTTATTCTTTATTTAATTTGGAATATATAATAATTATTTAAATAATTAATACTCTTCTCTAGGCTACTACCCCTTATTTTTTTTTTCTTTATTTTCTTGCTATGTTTACATTACACTATATATTGTATATTAAATCAATTTTACATAATAAATATTTAAATTTTGTTTCAGAAAATCGATCTTTACGCGTAAAGGTAGGAGTATATGTCCGGTGGAGATATGAAATAATAAAATTTTTATATTTCAGCCATAATGCACGTTTTTGTTTATAAAATACATAGATAATATTATACAACTAAATATATTAAATACAAAATATTTAAATCATTCTCCATGTTGTAAAAGTGAGAGCGTGCTGTATTTGGTTGTTAAATGAGATCACAGGCAGTTTTTGGGTCAATAAGTTGACTGATTCTTGAGACTTTCGGGTCTGGAGGTTTAGTTGTGCAAGGCTGATCCGAGTCTTCCCAATAGCTGTCTAAAATGGGAATTTTGCAATGAAGAAGAAAGCAGTGCATGCGGAAGAACGACTGTAATCATATACAATTTTTTAAATTATTTGAAATTAATTGTAGTATAATCTAGAGAAAAAAATACAAAGATTTTTAACAAGATATCTGCGTGTTACCTCTACTTTACGAGTATTTTAGCTAACCTATCTGCATGATCTTCAGGCTGTTGTTTTATCGTAACAAAGAGTTCATCTTGTCATCTTCAAAATTCCCATTTTTTGACAGCTAAAGGGTTTGCTTATAGGAACTGTTTTGTGATAGTGTGGATACATGTAAGAATGAGTTGGTCGCCGCCGGGATTAGAAGATGGTCCGGAGTGAAAGAAAAAAACTGGATTATGGACTTGTTCTCGGGAGCAGATTTTGGATCGAGGTGTTCAAAAGACGAAGTTTGTTTATCAGGTAAGTCGTTGATATTAGGCCATGTAGATATGTGTATTGATTTGTTATTGGATACTAATATTGTGTTTTTCAAAAAATTTTATCTCATTTATGCTACATAGGTACAGTACAACCTCGATATAACGGACTACTTAAGGGGATGAGGACGACGTCAGATGATATCATTAATAGGAAAAGACGAAAATGAAATCACAAGTAGAAAAAACATACTGACACGAATAGAAGAATTTTACACAGAACTTTACAGAACACATCAACAAGATGATGAGATGAGACCAGCACGGAAATTAATAAAAAATGTTGGATCAGAAATAATGCCAAAAAGTAACAATTTCAGGGGTAACTACAGCATTGGAAAACATGAAGAGAAATAAAGCTGCAGGAGAAGATAGTCTTACCACAGATATGATATTAGAAGGAGGTAAGGAACTAATTGCAATTGTAACTAAGCTTGTGGACAGTTGTTTACATCAGGGCAAAGTCCCTAAGAGCTGGAACAACTCTAAAGTAATCTTATTGCACAAGAAAGGTGATAGTCGAAAATTGGAAAACTACAGACCCATCAGCCTACTGTCACACCTGTTTAAAATACTCACCAAAGTCATAACTACTCGACTAACAAGGAAATTAGACGAATACCAACCATATGAACAGGCAGGTTTTAGAAAAGGCTATTCAACTTCCGATCACCTGTTAACCACAAAAATATTAATAGAAAAATGTAACGAATACAAGTTTCCAGTTTTCCTTGCATTTGTAGACTACGAAAAAGCTTTCGATACCATAGAACACACGGCCGTAATAAACGCAATGGAAAATTGTATAATAGACAGCAGATATATTAACTTAATAAAAGAAACTATGAACCAAGCTACAGCTACATACTATCTAAATGAAAATGAACATACGAACCCTGTACCATTAATCAGGGGAGTCAAACAGGGAGATACTTTATCACCCAAACTGTTCACCTTAGTTTTGGAGGACGTTTTTAAAAACCTAAATTGGAAATATAAGGGAATAAACATCAATGGCCGCTACCTCAGTAATCTACGATTTGCAGATGACATAATCCTGATAGCTACTCACCTACAAGAAATGCAAACCATGCTTGTAGAACTTCATACCGAATCTTCTAAAATAGGACTGAAAATGAATTTAAACAAATTAAAAGTCATGCACTCCGAAGACACCGTGACAATAATAAACGATAAAGTTATAGAAAAAGTTGAAGAATATATATACTTGGGACAAAAAATAATCCTAAATAGGGAAATTCAGACTGAAGAAATAAAAAGAAGAAGAAAGTTAGCTTGGGGAGCATTCGGTAAACTGAACTATATACTCAGAAATCAACAAATTCAATTACATCTTAGATCTAAAGTTTTTGATGCATGCATTATTCCGATATTAACTTATGCGGCACAAACATGGACAATCACAAAAAAGAATATGAATATACTTAGAGTCACTCAACACGCGATGGAAAGAGCACTGCTAGGTATATCACTTAAGGACAAGAAAACAAACACATGGATAAGACAGAAAACCAAAGTCACCGATGTGGTGCAAAAAGCATTAAAGCTGAAATGGGAATACGCTGGACATGTAGCTAGGAGCGATCTAAACAAATGGCACAGATCAATTTTAA